ATCGTCGCAGAGTTCATTTGCTGACTTCCCTCTATCAGCTATATACTCAAATCTGAACGGTAACACGCCCATGTCATTGTATCGTAGAATATAGATGACGAACAAACACACGACATATCTCATCATCCAAGTGTATAAACAGAGTAATTTACACCAAAGATAATAACATTCAAATAGTAACTTGAAACTAGAAATGCCTTTATTCATGCAAGTCAGTTTAACAATTACTCTCGTTTACACTTGGCTTATTCTCACTAAACTGAGCAATATATTTCGTATTTTCAAACGCACCGATACTATCATAGTCATTGCAGAAGATACTTGAGTTGATGGGCATCTGTTTCATTGTGGATGAAAACACCAACGATGACTGAGTGACACAAGGTGATGAACTTAGTGGTGGATCAGAAGCTGTTCTTTTTCGGCTTTCAGATAGTTGTCTACATGCAGGACCACCACCACTGCTGTCTTTTACTATCAGCTCAGGTTTACCACTATCATCTGATGATAGGTGGGCTATATGCTGATCAATTACGCTGACGGTTTGAAAAGTATGCATGCCTTCTGCAACTGCATCTGCATTTAATTCTACTTCACGTTGTAGTTGTACAGAACCTTTATTCAACTCAGCAATACCAGGCATCCCCCCCATGTCATCATGATCAACCAAAGACAAATCTGCACTATCATGATCATTATCACAAATATTCAATTCACCATCATCTATCTGGTCGACTTCATCAATTTCAAACTCTTTAATAACAGAAGTAGACAATTTCGATTTCTCCTCACAAATCCTTAAAGGTTTTATATCTTCACTCTGACTAGTAATACTTTGTAAACTTGTGGAGCCAGATTTGCCCTCTGAGACTGTAACTCTCTTCTGTGACACCCTATTCAACAATGGCTTACCAGTTGCAACTACAGGCTTCCTCACCGCGCTATTATCGTCACACAATTCGGAGTCATACCTTGATTTCACACTTAGCTTATCACTAAACTTGCTCACTGGTTCACAGTTCACCTTTGTATGCACCTCTTGCAAACGTGTAAAACACAACCGTGTTTCTCTTGCAGCTTGTAACTTATCTGTTGAGGATGTACTACGAAAGCTGTTACACTCACTAGGTCTATGTGCATTACTAGACATCATGGAGTCTTCTCGATGTCCACCTCTCTGAGGCCTATTCGTCATCAATGATTGCGTTTTACCCCCAGACTGCTCTATTCTAGGGGTGAGATGCAATAGACATGCGAACTTGCTCATAGATAGATTGATGCTATCTTCTACCAGTTTCAGGATATTATCAAACTTTGGCTCGATACCCTCATCCTCCATACGGGAGCTTATCTTCACCCACTTCCTTTGCAGTAGAGTAGGTAGGCGTCTTGCTATTACTTCTAGTATAAAACTTGAGTTGAGGTCACTCATGCAATTCATCGAAATCAATTCATTCTTGTAATTCAGCAAATTATCCAGAAACTCAGTGAGTGCCTGGGAGTCATCGTGTAGTTGACTACCGTTACCCTTAAGAGCCTCGAATAATTTCCCTACAATCATCGAAGGTCTTCCAAACCTTTGACGTAATATGCTCATAGCCTCGTAGTAGCCCTCTTTTGGCTTCATAAACTTACAACACTGTATAGCTCTTGCAGCATCTCCAGTGCAATACCTCATCAAATACATCAATTTCAATTCATCACTTAATAGAAAACTACTCAGCATGATCTCAAACCCCTTTACAAATTGTAAATAATCAGCCGGGTTTCCATCAAAACACCGTGGTTCAAATTTAGGGAGTTTGATGTTCCTATTATCCCTGAACGGCGAAACAGTAACATCAACCATGTCATGCTTAGCATCAGACACATCGTTACAAGTAACAGACAAGTCACCATGACTTACTTTCCTGTTTGCATCCAAGACGCTCTGTCCCTTCTTTGACCCAGGCATTGTTGAACTTGACCCAATTCCAAAAACTTTCCAGATATTGCTTGTTCAAAGAGGACTTGACCGGCACCAGGAAAAATGAACGGCGACTATCCAAACTGTCACCGACTGTCTGAATCCGCCAGAATCTGTTTCTACCGTCAGAAACTGTCAGTCACGTCTCGTAAACCGTCAATGCCCGGCTCTTGCTACGCTCGGGCTCACGCTGTTCTTTGAAGTTTCTCAGAAACGCTTAGTAATAACGGACGCAAACACCAAAACACCAATTGGAGACTCGAGGATTCTTTACTGGAACACCAACATATAAACACTGTTACAACTAAGGTCTGTGAACAAATATTACAATAATAAATCACAATATTACTTCTGACAGTTTTGGTCTGACTTCTTTCTGAACAGCGACCGATGAGACGATGACTGGTGTATTGATGCCTCCGCGAAAATTGGGGAAGTTGGTTTTGAGCAAACAACCAAGATTTGATCGTTCAATCTTCAACTACATAGACAGGGCATTTAAAATCAGAAGCTTGTACTGTAGACTTTCGTAACAAAACCATTACTAAAAATTGTGCAGAAAAATACCTATTCTTGTGGCCCCGATTGATACTCGTCAATCTTCTTTGCCTAAATGGCTAAGGTATTGCCGAAGTTGGGAGAATAAATACTATTGTGAACGTACTATTCCGGGTTTTTGGGTGTGTAAGTAGCAGGTGTGTAGCAATGTCATCATGTTTCACTGTCCACATCAAAGCAGTTGCACAATACCACTCAATCTGTCGGTAATTACTATGGTTGGAATGTGGTGGTAGCGAACGGAAGTCAGACAGTTAGTATTTTAGGAGTTCGTGGAATATGTTGAGATTATTTTGTGACATTTTATCAGCATACACATCTAGTAATACTTTGGCTAGGAATGTAGACTTTGAATATCAGTCAGGTTAAAAGAATCGCAGAAATGCAGAAGACTTCGTCAAATGCATACTTGTAAAGCGAATCTTGGAATAACCTGTGGAGTACTAGAATTTTGCTTCAATAATGCTTAAGTACCTAGATTTAAGTAAATTATTTTTGGTGTAGCTATGATTAGGTACTAGGAGGGGCACAGTGGGCCTTGTTTATGGGCAGATTTTCAGGAAGAGAATCAACATCATGTAAGTCCATTTTCTAAAACTTAATCAAGAAATTTAGGAATCTGTTTAACGTCCACTTAGGAAATTCGCCTTCCCAGTAATAAATCTACCCAGTTTTGACGAAAAGAGACATGATCTGAAAAGAACTGATCCCATATTTTCACTTTCTGAATACTTCGAATTATGACGACAACTACGACTGAATTTCTAAAATAACTACTTTCAAATTACCTCATGTCCACTTCACATTTCTTGACAGTAATGTAATGAATGTTGTGGAGGTTTGAGGTTTATTTCCTTCTGTTTCAAGGCAAACGCTCACAGTGGGGGCTATGATAGAGTAGATTTGTAGCTCAGGTGGATGATTTTGATGTGGTTTTGTTCTCTGAGCTGGATGATTAGTTTGCGAAGCTTTCATCGCCCTACTGGGTGACATCTTCAGCGAATACTTCAATTTGAAGTGAGCCTTCAGATTTCTCCACGAGTTTATTAATCATCTCTCCCGGTGACCTTGGACGTGATTGGTTGTTTGTGTGTGTTTTCACACCTTCTAGGTTACTTGTATTGGAACTGATTGTTTCTTTGACTTGAACTTTGACCCTTTGTGTGTGAAGTTTCTTTCTTATTGGTTGATAAATTTTGTCTATCTCGATGTGTCTATTGATTGATGATTCACTGGAATGGCAAGGACAACGTTCAAATATTAGACAAAGGAAATAACAAGAATGCTAGGGAATTTTTAGAAGCTTGGCATTCCAGTGAATCATCAATCAATAGACACATCGAGATAGACAAAATTTATCAACCAATAAGAAAGAAACTTCACACACAAAGGGTCAAAGTTCAAGTCAAAGAAACAATCAGTTCCAATACAAGTAACCTAGAAGGTGTGAAAACACACACAAACAACCAATCACGTCCAAGGTCACCGGGAGAGATGATTAATAAACTCGTGGAGAAATCTGAAGGCTCACTTCAAATTGAAGTATGCGCTGAAGATGTCACCCAGTAGGGCGATGAAAGCTTCGCAAACTAATCATCCAGCTCAGAGAGCAAAACCACATCAAAAACAGTGGGGGCTTTCGCACACAGCTTGAAACTGGATGTGTCCCAATATCTTTCCTCTTTCAGCAAGCTTTTCTTCACCTGCATTGATGTAATCACATAGGGCACGCAAAATGGCGTTTTCGGAATGTTGTCGTGCTGTCAGTAGTGAACACTACAAATTCTTAGAACTTGCTTGTCATTCCTTCGATGCTAGTCATAGGATTCATATAATGAAATTCTTACAAGTAACTTGGTAAACTGTATTGAATGAGTGAATTGTCTTACTAATTCTCCTCCTCTAGCCCTGAAACCTTTGCATTTTACCACTGTTTCTTTGCGTTAGTTTGTTGATTTTTAGTCATTCAGTAATCACTATTATTTTCATTTTTTTGCAGGAACCTAGCGACTAGCTAATTAAAGTAATTATTCATCTAAAATAACTTTACAAAGTTGCACTAATCTTACGGTCAACTCAAGCTAAAACAAGGTAGTTTAGGGGAAAGACATTTGCAGATGCACATAAAAACATAGGAGAAGGTGTTAAGCAGCCAATGTGATGCTAACTATGTTGGAAATTGGTATAGGGTCTGTGTACATTTATTCGCTTATGTCTCGTACCATGCGATTTAATAAGGTGGTATTTCATGTAACTCTAAAAAACTAGTCTCCAGGTCAGTTATTACAGAATCCATCTAGTAAGTATTGGTAGGAGACTTGAATATTTGGGATTTTGTTTAACATATTCACAAATCAAGGACAAACCAGCCAGACCTTGAAATGATCAGCTTAAGCAAATTTTCGGGTTTTTGTGGTTAAAGGATATCGAGGCTTATTTATACGTTCGCCTCGAAAATTGCTGGCGCTTTGAAAGAATGCCTGCGTTAGTGTTTTTAGGAAGAGCATGGGCATTCGCCTCAGACGATTTTGTTTGCACGGGTTTGAGTAATTTTTTACTGCGATTGTCCTGGTTTGTCATATCTTCCCGTTAATTTTTTATTAAAAGTGTTTGTATCATGGCTGTGCCGCTTCTTCTTGCAAAAAATATCTCCGCTTGTTTTTCTGGCATTGCATCTAGGGTATTATTTGTTCTTAGTTTCACTAAAATATTTTAGGTATTTTGCATAGCCATGTTTGTTGTAATGGCTGTTTTGCTGATTCTCGACGCCTTACTTTCAATGTTCAGCAGCAAAGGAGGTGTTATGGATACAAATTTACGCAGAAATGTTTCCCATGTACTTGGCACAGTCTGTCTGTTTTCTTTGGTGTTACTGGTGCTGAATTGTGTCAATTTGTATTTTGCTTACAATGCATATAACCTTTGCGAAATACAGGTTAGCTTTGTTGTAGAAGTGTTTTGCTTTGAATTATTTTACTTTTCACCACTACAGTTTTGTAATTATATACCTACTATTTACCAGTATTTCGAAGTCCATATACATAGATGTAATCTGATGACAGATTATACATGAATACATAGGGATTGTGTTACCGTTAGGCCTTCTGAGAACTTTTGGATGGATCTCCAATATGTTTTGCAGATGGGCTTAATAGGCGTGTAAATTTCAATTTTATGCTCTGTATAGGCAAGGGTTTTTTGAGTGAAATAGCTTTGACGTCTACTTTCACCACCAATAACAGTCTGCATCTGAACACACTGTGGAATATGCTCTAAAGCCTTTACTAGCACAGATCAATGCGTCCTTATGTATATCATAGTTATATGTAAATCTGTGGATAAAGTGCGGTGTGTTATCATTTTTCACATATTCCTAGTTTTTAGACGGATATTTAGTAAATTCTAGTAAGGCTCCCAGCTCGTTGCAATCAGCTACTTGGCAAAGTCCAAAGAATACAAGTCACATTTATTTATTGTAGTAATAATTTGTATTTTCTCATTTTGTCTACTTATGTTTGTTGAGATAAGTTTTTCAGGGTATTTCTATACAAAATTCTTTTGTGATGGGTCATTCAGGATTCTAAAAATATGCTCATTTCTTATGGAGAAGTACTACGTTGGCTCAGTCTTTTAAGCGATTACATGTGTGTCATCGCAAATAAGGCTGTACACTTCCTCAGCTTTCTGAGGTGTCTTTCATGGGGAGCTAGTGGTTATTTCAGGTCTTTCACCCAACCACAATATAAAATAGTTGTGTTTAGTTATGTTCACTGACCGTCAAAATGTTCTGATGAAATGTTCTCTCATAACTTTGCGGGCATTATCTCTTTTTCGGCAGGCCACTCAGTCATTGACGCTACTCGGGTGGAATTATCCCTTCAATTAAAAAAAACCGACAACTTCCAGATATTTGATAGTCATATAATCACCGACAGACTGATTGTCATTTGAAATTCCTAACTTGCACTAGTTTACTTCACTAGTGGCGCGAATAGGGTATGCATTTTTTAACTTAGAGTTTCAAGTGCGTGACCAACGTTAACTTCGCTGCATTCAGTTAAGTCGCCATGTAGACTTTGTGGAGGTAATGCAGCTAATTTAATCGTTAAAACTGTAAACAGTTAAGTCTAACTTATCACGTAATGCTGGCTGAAGTAGGATTAAGTTGGGAATACGAAAACCGATGTAAATTAGCAATATGCAGAGTCACTGGCTTTTGAAACGAATCACGTAAGTGCAGTTCGATTAAAAATTGTGGGATAAATGGTTTGTTACAATGTGAGCTCTTTATAAACATCTAAATACACCCAAGGTTATTTAATATGGTTGGCAAACATATTGCTCAAAATAATGGATTAATCACTTTCTGCTATCAAAGCAAATACAAGTCGTAGGCCCTTATTTCGCATTTAGTCTTTGTCACCCAACGTGTTCCGAAATCTTTAAATTAAGTCAATACTTAGTAGGCTGTATTATTTCTGTTATATTAGATTGGTAGTAAATTGGCTATCGGTAAAATGAAAGTAGTTAATTACTCCTATTAGTACACTTGTGAGTAAGAATGAGACGAAAGCTCTTCCCCAACAAATATCATTTAGCATAGACAGCTTACAAATATTGGCGCCTCTGGTCATAAGCAATCGACTACAGAATTTTTATTGACGTCATGCGCGTACTAGACATCTATCGTATATATTGACTTTTGCTGATACTTTTATTAGTATAACTATGTATATAATTTTTATGCTTTCAAGAGTAGTTTTAAACTGAAGTAAAAGAACAATTGTTTAAATATTTGTCACAAATTTCAACAGATCCTATTAGTTGTACGGAATTTGTCTATCAATTGCAAGAAATCCTTGCGTTTAACCATGCAATATTTAGGCTTATCTTTACATTCGATTTCAGATTATTGACTGCTATGTAGCGGGGAACGCTATTTCAGTAGCCCATGTTATCGGCTTTATTCTGTTCTTACTACTACATTATCGTGAAGCTGGGGCTTTCTGGGGCCAGTTGGCAAACGATCCCAATGTATTTAAACAAGGTTGCTTGCATCCTGATGTTAATCTTTCCACGAAGCAGTCAGTAATGCTCAATAAGAGAAAATCTTTTCAACGCAACTTGAGGATTTTAGGAGTTTTCCGTCGTTCACCTCGTTTTAAAACTGATCAAACATTAGTACAAACTGAAGAAAGGGTAATAACCTCTGCTGCTGCACTATTTTCAGAAATTTTTTACGTACGTTTCAAAAACTTTGTTTATTTAATGCTTATATGTAATACAAATTATCAGATTTCGATAGTCAGTTTTATAATTTGACTATATTACAGCTTGGAATTAAGGTAAGCCTCAAGTCGTAGTACATAAGTCTAACTGCATTTCTTATAAATGAAGACTTTAAAACTAAATAAAAAGTATGACTCGTGTCGATTCCCGTTAAACATTGAATATAATGTGTATATTTTGTTATAAGTTTTGAGCTAAGTGGTTAATGCTTAACACCGAATGACTTCTGGTTTCAGTAATCTCCGAGAAAATTCTATACACCCCTTTGTATACATTGTACATTCAAGGACTTTGAAGGTATGACATATCTTCTTCTGACCTAATTCCAGTCCAACCAGTATACCATACAATTAGAAGTTATGCATTATACATCTTACAACTGTCTTGATGAACGAAAGTATGTTTGTGTTAAGTAATATTGCGTTCATATTATAAGTTCTGTGCAGGTATGCTGATTCTATCACAAATTTATAGCTTTAAAACCAATTTATAGGAACCTTTATTCCTGTCTGTCTGTCTGTTTTCGACATAGAACTTTGCACAAATGTCCGCCAGTTCAAGTCGCCACACTCCGTGTAGCACGCGAAGCAAGAGAAGAAAGTACAAGAAAAGCATAATCGAAACAGTGAGCAGAGGTGTGAGACAAAGGAGTAATAAAGAAATGCAAAACAGTTTCATTGGAAATCATAAGTCACAAGGAGTGGATGCATCTGCGTCACTGAGAACGATTTTGAGCCATGTCACCAATTGTTTCCAACCATAGATTTTTACCGTCCCGAGGACCCCAGCCTGGAAGTCTACACCTTCCTACGTGGCTTAGACCAACTGTTGTGGATTTCATTGACTGATGCCAAGTTTTTGTTTGACCGCCGCTAGCTTTTTTCCAGCCTGACCCTATATCCGCTAACATTGCTCGTCGAGGGAGGCGCTGGCTTGGCATACGTAACACATGTCCTAACCATCTCAGTCTTTGTAGCTTCACGACTTCGTCGATTGATTTCCCCTGTTTACCTAGAACTCTACGCCTAACCTCCATGTTGCTCACCTTATTATGCCACTTTACACGGGAAATAGAACGCAGGCACCTATGATCAAAGACAGCTAGTCTTTTCATGTCTTCCACTCTCAGTGACCAGGTCTCACAACCATAAAGGAGGACGGAGCGGACTGATGAGCAGTACACCCGCCCTTTATTCCTAAACCGTATGATTCTGGAGTTACCGCTAGATTGTATATCTGCAGAACCTAGATTATTGTTCTGTGTACTCTAAATCTAACAACTGCATAGGCTATTCGAAAATACTGTTAGTGGTGTAAGTTTTCAAATTTTAGTGGTTTTTTATCGATTCCGGGACAGTCAACTAATCTCTTCGACTATTTGATATCAATCAGTGATCAAACTCAAAACAAATGAAATCCCTACTAACTCCTGCAAATTGTGTAGGACCCAATTTTACTCTTCATATAACGAAAGCGTTCCACGTACTGACCCGATTTATATCTGATTTCCAAACATGGTGTCGGTGAAAATCTTTTCCACAGCATCATTTTCGTGTGTCATATGCACTTCTTAAGTGCTCAGAATTAAAATCAGACTATTCATAAACCTCTATCTTGTCTTAAGAGGATGAGTCATTATCTGAGCAGTCCAAGATATATAGTTCGCAGCTTCATCAATGAGTAGGGTAAATTCGAATTTCTCAGGAAAAAATAGTTCCTTACAGTAGTAGGTATGTCTTGCTTATGACTGTAAAGTACAAAACTTAATTTCAAGTCTTCCACTCGATTAATTTCTATCACCAGCATGACATTTTAAGGTCTCTGAACAGTTAATTCATATACCTTTTCTCACCATCATCGCAACTGACTTTATCATTTTTCGTTAAATGGGGAGGTTAAAGACCAATAACTCCATATCTGTCTGATGAGACTCAACATAATTTCATTCACAGTGAAGTATGATTCCAAAAAGTCGCAGTTACAAGTTTCTGAAATCCTCCAAAAACACGGAAGAAATGTTTACAATAAGATTTACACAAACTCAATGAGTTTTGTGCACAACTTATTCGGTAGTCAATAATTGAAAAAGTATTTGGAAAAGTCTAGATCAGTATTGGTCATTACCTCGGTTACTGGCTAATCTGATTTTCCTCGCACGTCCAACGCGATTGTTTCTTAGAGTTCCCTACCCCTTACTATTTATGCAGATCGTTATGCCGATGGTACACATGTGTACAGGATCTTACGGCACCTCAGTGTATTTCAATATGAAGCTGTTTTAGTAAATAGGGTGAGGTAGATTAACTAATCCAGTTAAGTTAACCGACTAAATATTAGTTAGTTTAGCTGTGTCTGTGGGGTCAGTAACAAGGCCTCAAGAGATGGGGAGCCTACTATCATTCTTCTTGACAATGAAAAAGCAAATATTATCGTAAAGCTGATATTACCACTTTAGAAAATAACGAAAGAGACATGTTTGTGGATTGTAGTGTCCTTCCATTCTCGTTTCTTTTTTGTGGACTGTTATGAAGCGTGGCCGGTTTAACTATTGTGCACCTATGCGAATTTCGACATTTATTCCTGTCAGAACCAATTTCTTTTTAATAACATACGCTTTGTGTATGCAAAAAGTTGGTGTATCAGTTACTATAACTCGTGTAGAAAAACTGGTTTTCATTTTGAGAAAAGAGATCCTCAGGTCCATGCTTATATGGTTTTAGCTCATACATGCATTATTCATCTGTCCATCTTGTATTGGGATACTAGATAACTGTCATACTTATTGCTCTTCAATAATTTCGTTTTTTTGAGATTTAAGATACTTTGAATCGTTTGCACATTATTGCATTAGGGAAGTCATTCACAACTTGATATGGTTATGAGCAATAGTTTGTGCTCAAAATGTCATCAGTTAATATTACTGTACAACACTATCTGATTTATCAAAATTAAATCTTATGTATAATGGACTTTGTGAAGTTTCTTATTCACTTATGGAGCACGCGGTGAAATAAGCTATTTAAGTTAGCTGTTTTTGCTTCCATCCCTGTTTCTTCCTCACAGGTACTGCAGTATGGTTGTGCACTACTGTTTTGTAAATATCAGGTTCATCTGACGTAGCATGCTTGACAGACTTTGCCATTGTATGGTTTCAGTAAAATATCTCGACATATAACGTAGATATTTTGATGTGATTGTTTCCACATTGTATGTGTGTGTGTGTTGCACGAATATCAGTTAAGAACGGATGATTGACTTCCTCATAAAATGGATGCTTGAATTCCTACCTTTCTGAACATGTCCAAATCTCTTGATGCCAGTTGAAGAGAAATCAAGTGCAACTCAAGAGTTGTATACAAGTTACTTCTTTAATACTGGAATTTATTTAGTCATTTAGATATCCGTAGTCTATTTTTCTAATTATTTCTAATTACAGCTTGATTCCACACCGTAATTTGTTGTTACAGGTATAGAATTTTCAGCATGTGATATCATTAGCCCAAATTTCGCAGGCCGACCATAGATATCAGGTGTGCGTCGGCAGGGGATCGAATCCCGGACCATGTGCATGGTCAGCGAGAGTACTAACCACCGTGCCGCCGACACTGTTCCAACGAATGCTATACAAAACTTGTAAGAAAAGCGTTTTCTGTAGTTTAATTTCATTTCTTTCAATAGTTTCTTCACTCATCCAAACACCTCAACACTGTTTACTATTTTTTCTCTCATTTTAGTATACATTACTAGAAGATTTGACACATATCAACTCAAATGAGTGATGTGTAATTACATTTAAGCGTCAAATCAGTGCATATCGTTTGACTTGGATTCTACTCATTCAATATCTGAAGTAAACAGTAGAATATTCATGCATGTTTATTCATGTCCATCTAAGCTTTGAGATTACCCTTAACGCGATTGTAAATGAATACTAAACTTTACAAAACCAGTTTTGTTAGTATGAGTACAGTGCCAAATATATACATATATATGTGAGAGAGAGAGAGAGAGAAGGACAAAGTGGAAGTGGATCATAATAATAAAGCAGTAATTAGTCAACTAAGTCATAGATTCAATTTCTAATCAAAAATTAACAATCTATATTGGTCATTGAACGACTGATTCACGTGTTTTTCTAATGAAGGTTAACCAATTTGTTTCACAGAAGTGATTAATGTACAATTGTAGTCTTTTAAGTTTTTCTTTTTTCTGTAGTGTTTCTATAGAGTTCTGTGTTAAAAATGGCAGTCTATTGATGCCTGGCTAGCTGACCATTTGTTTGCGAATGGCGAATTCTGTACTTCTTAAAATATTCTTGCTTAAATAACTTATTGGTATTAAAAAGTGATTGTAAAACTTATTCTGTGTAGGCAGTATATATATAACATGACTAGGAAACTGTTTATCAGATAGCAATTATTCAGCCGACATTCGCAAGTAGTAGTTTCACTAATCAATACACAGTTAATTTTTGCTTCATATGACATTCTCTTTGAGGAGCAATATGCTTCATTCAATGAAACTGGCGTGCGTCGGTGGCACAGTGGTCAGGATGCCCGCCGACCATGCACATATTCCAGGGTTCGATCCCCGGCCGACTCACTCCTTTACCTCGCTAAGCTAGAAATAATTCTGGTAAAGAGGAAAGCTTGGGCATGAGGCTAGCAACCCCATCCTGTAAAATAAACACTGCTACAGAAACTTCAAGCCAATAGCTTGAAGCCCTATGTTCCACTGGGGAACGTGAAGGAAAAAAAAGGAACTGGCGCTATGCGACTGTAGTGCTTTCCAAATTCGATACATTCATTTGTCTCCTGCATAAAGCTTACTTCTTTTTGAATTATAATTGTAGTATTAATTTAAACATCAAGGTTATAGATGATCTATGTCTATGCACAGTGATTTCAGACCGTTGTATACACGTTACTGTGGTAATAATAATAACACTGGTGTAAAAACACGAAATGACCTGCATTTTACAACCATCTGTTTCATAATCTCTCTGTGTCACTTTTAGAAGATATTCGTTTATATATTGTTTTGTGACATTATAGTATCGATTAGACGAGATACATGCAATGAGAACATCAAATGTTACACGTTAGTTGACCACCAGGAAGTTATACGTATCAGTTTTGAATCAATCTCATGCCCTAAAATAACCCCCTAATCCATACAGCAGTATCATTTTTCTTGAAAGAGAATTTCTCAACATTTGGAATAGTAGGTTGGCAATGTGCTGTATCATTATTCCAAGCAAAAAATAACCGAATTAAACACTTTCATGAGCGCAGCGAGAGTATAAGTAGACTTGCTAACGCAGGTAGTTTTGTGTATGCGTATTATACCTCTCAAGTGTTAACAGCCGCAACTTTAGTCCAATGTTTTGTTTATTTGATACACGAATATTTGGAATTAAGGATTTCCCTGAAAAAACGACAAATATTCAATTCTGTAAGTTTGTTTGATCTGGTTCGCTTTGGAGTGGAGATTGGCGATCTATATTCACTGCTATTTCAGACAGTGGTCATCTCACAGTTATTTATTTAACCATGTTCCTACCTAGTTGCTTCATCTTGTCTTTCTACTCTTGGTTACTTTTTTTGCTGTTTTTCAAATATTTTTTCTAAAATCTGCGTCGTTTATGGATGATTTTATTTTTTTTTCACTGGTTGTTCAGATGATTAACCGGCAGACTTCAGAACTACAATTTCAACTATCTTTGTAGAGGAAATTAAACATTAACAGCTTTCGAAGCGACCGGTTCGTTATCAACGTGGTAACTGTTTCCCTTCGGAGTGGTTTTTGTCTCCACAATACCGTTTTTTTAAAAATCATTATTATTGCTTCGTGTTGCAAAATATTCATTTCACATAATTGATTTTTTATTTGTGATATCTAATTACTCCTTACATTCAGGATGTAGACTTAGTTGCAAGCGACATAGTTGCGGGTCTCATCCTTCTACGTTGGCAGACCAAACAATGGGTTGGATGTGGTCACCGTATCCCTTTGAGCCTCATACACCAGGATACTTCTCCTTCAGATCTAAACCTGTATACTGTGCGAAAAGATGACCAAGTAAGCTGTGTTTGTGAGGTTAATTTTGTAACAATAACTTGTATCATCTAACATTATGCACTATTTTAACGAAGGATCCAGGTATAATGGATAGGCTTTGTAGCTCTGATGGATGATTTTGGTTTAGTATACGCTGAAGACATGATCTAGTAAGACTAGACCACTCAATGTACCAGTACACCAATGAAGGGCCTACCTCCCCCCTCTCGACTTATATCCTATTGGACAAAGACATCAAGAGAAAAGAAGACAAGAGGGAATTTCCCATATGTTTATGGCAGACGTTTCAAAGACGCATTATTCCAAGACAGTTAGCCCTTATACTATTATTTTGTATACTTCCTTTTCATTTTAACTTTCTATAGTTTTGGTTTGTAAGGATTAGTTATGTTTTACGAGTTGATCACGGATTGATATCAGTTAGAGAACCATTGAAAGCCAGGGAGTACTGGACAGCTGCTGTTTCATCCTAGTTTGGGAATCATCGGCAGTACGCACCCACTGCTCGCTAGTGACTTGCTACAGGTTGGAGTTTCCTGAGTTCTAGTGAGAAGTCGTGACTAGTGAGGTCCAATTAGATGTCACGTGTGTGAATGGATGTCCCACCAACGACAATGGTTGGGATCGCGCTAAATCACGAATTGGTAGAAGTTAGGATTCACGAGCCATTGAATCGGGTCCCAGTGGCTGAATGGTATACGAGCTTGCCTTGTAACCGGAAGGTCCTGGTTTCGAAACCCAGTGGGTGCGTACTGCCGATGATTCCCAAACTAGGATGAAACAGCAGCTGTCCAGTACTCCCTGGCTTTCAATGGTTCTCTAACTGATATCAATCCGTGATCAACTCGTAAAACATAACTAATCCTTACAAACCAAAACTATAGAAAGTTAATCTGATGCTCGCTAGTGACTTGCTACAGGTTGGAGTTTCCTGAGTTCTAGTGAGAAGTCGTGACCAGTGAGGTCCAATTAGATGTCACGTGTGTGGATGGATGTCCCACCAACGACAATGGTTGGGGTCGCGCTAAATCACGAATTGGTAGAAGTTAGAATTCACGAGCCATTGAATCGGGTCCCAGTGGCTGAATGGTATACGAGCTTGCCTTGTAACCGGAAGGTCCTGGTTTCGAAACCCAGTGGGTGCGTACTGCCGATGATTCCCAAACTAGGATGAAACAGCAGCTGTCCAGTACTCCCTGGCTTTCAATGGTTCTCTAACTGATATCAATCCGTGATCAACTCGTAAAACTTCCTTTTCAATTGATGAATCGTGTTCATATCTCTCTACTGAAAAAGAATGAAAATTTATTCTGTACTCTGGTATTTATTATCTTATTCACATGAACAAATTTCGTAGTCGTAGTTCCAACGAAGGTCAAATTCCTTCCTGCCTGGCGTTCAATGGGAAGCTTGTCACTGCAGTGATGCTTTTTTCAAATATTGCTGTATAACCATTTACTATATAGCCGCATCATCCTGGAGAGAATCAAACAAGCCCTGGATGCAAAACTCCGACCGGAACAGGCCGGATTCAGGAGAAACAAGTCATCTATTGATCATATCGCCACTCTACGGATCATCATTGAACAAAGCTTGGAATTGCAGTCACCTCTCTATCTCAACTTCATCGACTTTGAAAAGGCCTTCGATACGCAGCGTCGATCAAGAGGTGATTTGACAACTACTTCGCTACTACGGAGTCCCATCGACAATTATACATCTCATCCAACAATTGTACGACAACGCTGCATGCCAAGTAATCCACAACGGGAAACTCTCTGGATCCTTCGAAGTGAGGACGGGAGTGAGACAAGGCTGTCTATTATCGCCAATGATCTTCCTGATTGCAGTTGACTGGATGATGCGACAGACAACGGCAACCAACGAGGGAACAGGCATAAAATGGACTGACACAAAAGACTTGGAGGATCTGGATTTCGCCGATGATATATGTCTGATTTCCCATAAACTGGAAGATATGCAAGTGAAAAGTAACAAGTTGGCAGAAGAAGCATCAAAGATAGGACTTCAAGTGAACATAGAGAAAACAGAGGTGATGAAGATTCTTGGCTAACACCAACAGCAACAACAACAACAGACGACAGTCAGACAGCATAAGTGGGAGGAACCTGAAAGAAACAGCCTCCTTCACCTACCTAGGAAGCATCGTTTCAACTACAGGCGGAACTGACGAGGATATCAAAGCCAGAATCGGAAAAGCAAGACAAGCTTTCATTACTCTTAAGTCTGTGTGGAAGTCAACAGCACTCAGCATCAAAAATAAGATCCGGATTTTCAACTCCAATGTGAAGTCAGTCAGTGCTACTTTACGGATCAGAGACTTGGCGCGTCATAAAGAGCATCTCAAACAAACTTTAGACCTTCATTAACAGTTGTCTTCGCTCAAAACTCAAGATCAGATGGCCGGTCAGAAAAGATCAGAAACAGGGATCTCTGGCAATGAGCGAACCAACCCAGCAGGAACCGATTGTGGAACAAATATGCAGGAAGAAATGGAGATGAATTGGCCATACACTGAGGAAACCATCAAGTGACATCACTAGACAAGCCATCGCTCAAGTGGAACCCGAAAGGGAAGCGGCAAGTTGATCGTCAGTGCAAGGGTGACTTGGAGGAGGTCATGTGAAGAGGAGATGAAAGCATTTGGACAGACCTGGAGCAGGGTGAAAAAGTTGGCAGAAAACAGAAGGCGCAGCTGAAGCCCTATGTTCCTCTAGGAATTAAAGGATATAATAATAATAATATAGCCTTATTGTTACAGTCAAAAGAAAACACACTGCATCATAAGACGTGCCATATTTTAGAAAATACTGGTGATATCTTAATTCACTTCTGTAAAAATGCTTTTTACACGATATTTCAAAACATTATATATGTGATTGATTACGTGCAGTGTGTTTTGGATATTGGAAAATATTTCAGTAAGAGATAGATAGCGCAAAAAAATTCCATTTCAATCCATCCAGTTGACTCTGATCAAATTACTCAGTATGAAATGAAAACAATTGAACTGGTTGCTGCTATCGGATAACTTTTTTTGATATATATAACATAATCAATCATGCAATCACAGGCGTACACTTTGATTTAGTGTAGGAATTAGAGATTGGTAACATTTTTAAATGAATCATTAGCTTCATCAGATTTATGCTACACTGAAAACAATGCACAGAATCACTTTTGTGTTATAGACAACATTGAATTTCACATAATAAAACAGTATTGTGAGAAAGTGTATACTCCAAATAAAATATTACTTGAATTATACGATTAGTTAAATACTGTCATGTTTATGCATTGTCAGTTCGTCTTACTTTCGAGTATCATAAAACAGGATAACTGTGTCAACATGGGGTATTACTTTTCTGTCACTGAGTGAACAATACTAAGTGAGCACTGAAGTTGTTCTCATCACAGATTGACGGGAATTGGCAGAACGTTTGTATGTAGAGAAAATTTGACTACCTACCTATTTTTGTTTGCTTGAGGATTTAGCAACGGTTCATTCTACTCACGTTGGAAATACTAACTAACCCCCTACATCCCATGTGTTGCGTGCAATACAAAAGCCGAGGTTACACCGAATGATGACAAGCTATATATATATATATATATATATATATATAGGCACCGAAAGCGAACCCAGAGACAACTGCAAACATGCTGACTCCATTATGGCAAAAGGTCTGGAAGGAGGAAAAGGTTCCCACTGACTGGAGGAAAGGTTACCTCGTGAAACTACCAAAGAAGGGCGACTTACGCCTCAGTCTGCAAGAACTGGCGAGGGATCATGCTCCTGTCGACGCCAAGTAACATCCTGAGTCGCATCATCCTGGAGAGAATAAAGGACGCACTAGTACAGAACAAGCTGGATTCAGGAAAGTCAGGCAAATCATCTACTGACCAAATTGAAACTCTACGCGTCATCATCACAGAACAAAGCATGGAATGACAATCAAACCTCTACCTCAACTTCATAGACTTTGAGAAGGCTTTCGACAGACAGCGTTGACCGCGAAGTAATTTGGAAACTACTCGAGTACTACGGCGTACAGTGATCCAAATATTCATCAACCTTATTCAACAGCTAGCCGTACGACAACGGTGGCATATGTCAAGTGATCCACAACGGAAAACTCAGCGAGGCGTTTGGAGTAAACACAGGAATCAGACAAGGGTGATTATTGTCTGTCACCAATGATATTCCTAATTGTGGTGGACTGGCTGGATTATGCGTCAGACAGTGAGTGGGAAACGAGAAGACAGGGATATCCTGGACAGACAGATGTGAAGAACCTAGAAGACCTGGATTTCGCGCGTGGATGATTTATGTTTGATGTCACACAAAATCGAAGACTTAGGGGCAAGCGAAAACCGACCAACTGATCGAAGAAGCATCCGGCGAAGGCAGGACTCCAGGTGAACATAGGTGGACAAGACGGAGGTTATGAAAATAACCAACCAACCAACAACAACAGCAACATCCAGCGTCAATCACCATCAACGGGAGGGATTTGAAAGAGGGTGCTTCATTCACTTATTTAGGGAGCACTGTCTCAACTACAGGAAGTCGGAGCGGACGAGGATGTCAAATTGAGCGAGAATCGGAAAGGCGAGAAACACATCATTGATCAACCTGAAACCAATCTGGAAATCTTCGTCACTCAGCCAAAATCAACAACAAAATTCGGACGTTTATCAGCAACTGTCTTCGCTGAATCTATACTTAAGATCAGATGTCTGGGCCGGAAGGAATCACCAACAAGAAACTATGGGAACAGACAAATAAAACAAGAACCAATCGCCAACCAACAGTAAATATGCAGGAGAAAGTGGAGGTGGATTGAATGGACACTCGTGGCTGAGGTGGCCGCTGGGTGACATCGCGCGAGCGTCAGGCCATTGCTCGAGTGGAACAAGGCCGAAAGGGAAGCACGCGGCGAGTGGGACGTCAGTGGAAGGGTGACATGGAGGGGATTGTGTGAAGAGGAGTTGAAAGAGTATGGACTAACATGGATGCAAGTACAGCAAGTACAGCAGAAAGAAGACATAAGCAAGTGGAGACGTGCAGTTGAAGCCCTATGTTCCACTAGGAACCCAAGGGAACGATGAGGATTATATATATATATATATATATATATAAGATGCACGTGGCAGCAAGTTAAATGAATAAAAGCTTGTGGGTAAACGAATATTCGATTGGTAAGATGGTGATATAAGGCTTTTGAAATTTGGTGTATAGGAGCACTTCATGATGTGTCTATTGTAACTCTTGAGATTTAACATATCTGTGAGTCCTGGATTAGTCGAGACAAATATATTGTATGCTCGTTACATTCTTTCCTCTGTCTTACTAATGTTGCCTGTGATAAGGTGACACCTCATGATTTTCCATGTAACAATTCTTTCTCCTATATACTCCTGTTAATCATAGTTCCGTTTTGTTTTGTTTTTCCCTCCACTTTTATCCGCAATATGGAGTGTGGCAACTTGAACTGCTTCACTTTCTTGCGAAGTTCCATGTTAAAAACTCAGTCAGTCAAAAGCTACCTTCATATGAGTTTGTCTCTTACAGTTAACTCTATCTAAGAATTAGCTTTGCTTGCTGCAATGATCATCTGATAAATAAGTGTTTTTCTAGTAACAATCGATAATTTTATTTCTTATATTCTAACAATCTTTCAGTTTGTGTCATAATTTTACTTTCGAAATAAACTTTTCTTTTACTGTTCAGTCATTTGGTCGCATGTCTTAGCCGCATTGAATTTACCAATATCTTTGCGTTACCGGTTAGTATTATAGTGGGAGTGGATCTTTGGACACGCTAGTAGAGTTTAACTCTGTGTGCTGTTGTTTGTCGCTTAGAGATATATAGCACACACTGAGACATGCTATTCACAATTTTTTGATCACAGTTACATCAAGTCAATTGTACATCTTTGATGCCTGGTTTATATACATTCTTATTTATAACATGCTTCACGTGTGCTTGTTCATCATGTTAACCCAGCACTACGCGACTGCAGTGGATGTGTGCAATCGCACTTTTAACAGTAATCATTGTGTGATTTTATGCATCTGATATGTGACAGTCTCATGTTTGCTTTATTCCAGCTTTTCTGGTATTTATATTACTACTGAATATGATTATGTACTGTTTTCATGATTTGTATGCATAGATATACCTGAACTCAAAGTATCGTTGAAAAGTTAACAGCTTTCTTTTTCTAATTGCATTTTATCAGTCAAAGACTATCCTTGTTGCTAGAAACTTGCTACTTTTCAAGTTGTCTTAAATTATTGTTGGGTGACTAAATAGTTGATAGATAAACAGCTGATGACCCTAAACAAAGTTTAAGCTATACATCTGATCATATAATCGGAGCACTTCGCTAGATTACTTCTTAAAGTACCGTACCTCATTGTTCTCCAGTTGCTATGATCCGTTCAACAGACTGTAATAAAATAGATAGTGGTATTATTATTCTGGTGGTTTATATTAGGCTTAAAAACACTTAACACGAAATGAAAAACAGTTACAGTATGTGCTTTTTGCAACCAGGTGAGCTTTGTGTACTTGTGGAAGTTTGTTAGTGGTTGATACTTCCTGGTTGCCCATACCGTGGGAGTTGGCTTTTCCTTGGGTTATCTGAAACAGAAAGAGCATTAGTGTTGTGTGATCACATTGCTCAGGGGAAAACTGCTTGAAACCAGTCATATGTGGTCTGTTCATACTGGCTTTTGGAGTTGTTTCCGTGTTAAGACCTCACTGCCGGCTACGGACTTCTTCGGAGTTAATCACGACGTACAATTTTCGAGGAAGTAGCACAGCTGACGCGCTGGTCATCCTTGGGGAACACCTTCCTGTTGTTGCATCACTATTCGCCAACAGTGCGACACTTCGCCCACAGAACCCCAACATGGTTTAAACGGCTTACATTATGATGGTAACTGATTTTAGTCTAAGCACTATCCAAAATAACTTTCTGGCTTAGTGGGACCTGCAGGAACATTAGTTCCAACCAGTGTAGCTTTTTGAATCATTGAGATGTGTGAACCACGTCAAGCTAACAGCTGTTGATCTTCCAGTTAAATTGATTTATATGATTTACCTTTCAGGAGCTTAGATGGTCATCTCTTGTATATCAAATCTTGTTGAGTTTACAGTGCTAAGTTAAGATGTTATGTACACGGTTGTGTGTTATCACGAGAGCTTATAAATGACTTTTCTCACTCTGAAAGAACTTTTAGTCACGCGTTGTTGTAATCGTGCATTCATTTAATTTACCTATGTATTAGCAATCTATTTTATCAAAAAAACGAAGAGAACTATATGTAGTTGTTTCTTCAGCGCTTTTTCTGAATTTCTCACGCTTCGAAAGCATCATTAGATTTCTTCTCATATATATATATATATATATATATATATATATATATATATATATATATGACATATTTTTGTCTATGTTATATTTTCGTAGACTCCAGATATGTGGTTGGATATCCACAGAATTTACCGAGTGGCAGAATTTGTAACCGCTATCTACGGGAAGTTGTTATACTACAGTATGAATCTTGGCATTCCTGGTTCCACTTGTCGGTTGTATCGTCACCTTCCTTGTTGCATGTAAGCAGATATCTTTTAGAATTATTATACCACCTTACACACTTCGGTATGCTTGTGTTATCCTTCAATTTAACATAATATATCAGGATAGGAAAATGATGTTTTTTTTGTTAATTTAACATTGTATTTAGCCAGCATATCTTTTTAGGTCATTTCAATAGGCAAACGTAACTGTCATCTCAAGTTAGCAGCTATCTATCTATTGAGTCTGTCAGTGAGACCTAGGCCAACTCTCCTTTCCTCTCGTTTATTTTTTGTAATTAATATGCAAAGAAAATCGATATACAACTATGAAGCAAAGCAAAAGGTTATTTAAAAAAACATATTTTTTTTTGAAAAAAATTGGTCTAAAGTAATTCGGTAGCTGGCGGATCCGATCAATTATCATTTTTTTTTACTAACGTGGGCGTTGCGTATATCCTATACATCTGAAAACGTGAATGTGTGCATTATCTAAATCAGTCATGAGTGTGTTCTGTGATTAGGAAAGAAGCATTAAGAAGTATACACTGCTCATAGCAGATAGTGAAGCGGTAGAAATCCTAGCTACAAATCACGTTACTCAAGTTCAAATGAAGTAAATTCATACAATTCGATGAACAGCCGATAATTTCCCCATAATCTGTGTATGCCTGTTAGTGGTTAATTTTGTCTCACTGATGATGATGATGACATTGAAAGAAAATGAAATAATTCTACGGTTTGAATGAGTTGATCAGCTAAATTTAATAAACCAGATTAGAATGAATATAAGAGAAGAGGTTCTGTATTTGTGAATCTACACTCTCCTAATAATTGCTTTGTATCTTAACAATTATCTATCATAGTTGGAGAAAGTTAGATAAACTAATGTGAAAATGAAGTTGAATGAGGAATAGCACATTTAGCATTTACGTTTTATTGTGTTTCCGGAGAATATGTGGTAACAATCCTGCTAATATAAGTTTAAAAATGACTAAATTATACAGCTTCAAAATTGTTACAGGATTTTCATCATGAGCTGACATTAGTTAGAGAACCATTGGAAAAACTGGGAGTACTGGACAGCTGTTTCATCCTAGTTTGGGACTCTTCAATAGTACGCGCCCACCGGGATTCGGACCCAGGACCTTCTGACTACAAGGCGAGCTCGTATACCATTAAGCCAGTGGGACCCTTGATACAATGGCCCATGAACTTGTTCTACCAACTGATGTCAGCTCATAATGAAATCCTCCAACCAATCAAACAAAAGAATCCCCACGTAACCAAAATATTAATTATAGTTTATTTTCACTTGAGCAAAGGTTTATACTCAACGATTTATGGTTTATATATATATATATATATATATATATATATATATATATATATATTAATTCATAAATATAGTGATTAGTTTCTCGAGTTTCATTATTTTCACACCCGTAAAGGCTATAAATAAAATAATTTAAAAAACAACAACACCAGCCCATATTCCAGTTATAAAGTGTATTGGATAAGCGTGACATGATATACACTTGATTAAGAGATAAGTAGATAAATACGCTTCCTGTTTACCCGATTTATCGTTTAGCCTTCATTTATGTTGAAATTGCTTAAAAACCTTCTTACCTAACCTATTCGGAGTTTGTCGTGTACGAAAGTATAATCTTTTGCTTAAATCTAGTTTATTTATAGATCAAAAGTGACATTTCAAAGAAAAAATTTGACATATTATACCCGGAAACATTTGTACTCCATCTTTTAGCCTATCAGAAAACTTAGACTCTAATTTTTACTCCATACAGTATGTTTATGATTTTTCTTTATCCTTCCAAATTATTTGTAAATTTAATTCGATTATTTTTCTTCTTCAATGTGAGGGTCGATTGAAACATTTTTTTATTCCTCTAGGTTCCTATCGGAACACAAGGGCTTCAAGCTAGAACTTGAAAGTTTCAGTAGCAGTGAAATTTATTTTTTATGGGAGGGGGTTGCTAGCCTTATACCCAACCTTCCCTCTTTACCAATCTTAATACTGGCTCAGCGAGTTAAGGAAGGCTTCGTTTGCTTTTGGAAGTGTGTGGGCGCTTGTTACTTTCCGGCTGCCCACACCGTGGAAGTTGCTTGATTCTTCGGGTACCTGAAACAGAAAGAGGGTTAGTGTTGCATGACCGCAGAGTCCAAGGGACAACTGCTTGAGGTGGGTCACACACGGCCTGTATGAACTGGTTTCTGGGATTATTTCGGTATTAGTAAACTTACCGCCGGTTACGGACCACCGTAGGGTAAGTCGGTATGTACAATTGTTGGGGTCGACCTTTTCTAACCCCTCTCTGCAGAGTGGAAAGACAGTATAGCTGGCTGGCATGCTGGTCACCTGAGGGAAACACCTCACTGCTATACACCCCTGTTCCCCGGCAGCACGACTTCACCCTCAGACTCCCAGCTGCTTTTAGTCTAATCGCTATCCTAACAACCTTCCTAGAATGGTAGGACCCGCCGGAACATTGGTTCCAGCCATTGCAGCTTGTTGGGTCATCGCGATTTGCAAGATCGACCACCACGTCAAGGTAGCAGCTATCGGTCGGGCTTAGCGAGGTAGAGGAGTGCGCCGGCCGGCAATCGAACCCCGGACCACACGAATGGTTGATGAGCATCCTACCGCTGTGCCACCGACGCACGATTGAAACTTCAGGGATTAGTTAAACAAATATCTTGAAAGTTAAAACGAAATTGAACATTTCAGTATAAGATATCAGGGGAGTAAATTAATTATGTAATTTGCACCGTTATTTATCAATCGATTATCCAATGTAAGTGACTGACATTTGTGATGTATTTTTAAGTAATTGTGTGAAGTGACAAAAATAAACTGACAGACTATTTTCGATTAGTCAAAGTGTTGTCTTTGGCTAGTAGTGTTTTGCTTCACTGACTTGTTGGAACATTGGAGTAGAACAGGGGAAACTGTAAATAAAAGTGATGATTTGTTTAACAGAAATGTTTCATATCTCTGTCTACACTGTTATTCCTTTTGATTGTATGCCAAGCTCTATACTCATCACGACTGTTGCATATATATGTGTGGTGTGATGGAAATTTCCGGAAGATAACAAAAGAGTGCGGAGCGAGCGTATCAACAAGATTACGGAAATCAGCAGAAGTTGTTTATAAATAACTGAGAAATGAAAAACTGTTGTGAGTTCGGCTCATTTAGTTCGACATCAGACATATATGAGGCATGAATTTTAATAAATGACGATGCATCTAGGTAGGAATGGAGAAAAACCTACATTTAGATTTGATAAAAGATAATGAAATCAATTAAGGTCAAAAGACGAGTTACTAAGACGCTGAAATACTTACTACAGCTTCTTCTTGAATACATAAGTCAGGTTTAAACTGTTTGCTAGCCATGGTTTCTGCAGACTTCAAGAGACTTGTTTACTTAATATTTTAAATGAATTCAGGATGTCTGCTAGATACCCTGTGTCAATCAGATGTCTCATTATTACGTTGCTCAAAGATTTACTTCCCCTTAATCACAAACTCTTCGGTACGTAATCAGAAAATCCGCGTCATGCCCTTCTCTCTCTTCTTACAATGTATCTGCTTTGGCAGCTAACAAAAGAAGCGTATCTGTCGAGTTTGAATCGAACTAACCAACATGATCTTTAACCTTAATTGATTACATTATTTATTGTTATTGTTCCGTTGGTTTCCTAGTGGAACATAGGGCTTCAACTGCACGTCTCCACTTGCTTATGTCTTCTTTCTGCTGTACTTGCTGTACTTGCATCCATGTTAGTCCATACTCTTTCAACTCCTCTTCACACAATCCCCTCCATGTCACCCTTCCACTGACGTCCCACTCGCCGCGTGCTTCCCTTTCGGCCTTGTTCCACTCGAGCAATGGCCTGACGCTCGCGCGATGTCACCCAGCGGCCACCTCAGCCACGAGTGTCCATTCAATCCACCTCCACTTTCTCCTGCATATTTACTGTTGGTTGGCGATTGGTTCTTGTTTTATTTGTCTGTTCCCATAGTTTCTTGTTGGTGATTCCTTCCGGCCCAGACATCTGATCTTAAGTATAGATTCAGCGAAGACAGTTGCTGATAAACGTCCGAATTTTGTTGTTGATTTTGGCTGAGTGACGAAGATTTCCAGATTGGTTTCAGGTTGATCAATGATGTGTTTCTCGCCTTTCCGATTCTCGCTCAATTTGACATCCTCGTCCGCTCCGACTTCCTGTAGTTGAGACAGTGCTCCCTAAATAAGTGAATGAAGCACCCTCTTTCAAATCCCTCCCGTTGATGGTGATTGACGCTGGATGTTGCTGTTGTTGTTGGTTGGTTGGTTATTTTCATAACCTCCGTCTTGTCCACCTATGTTCACCTGGAGTCCTGCCTTCGCCGGATGCTTCTTCGATCAGTTGGTCGGTTTTCGCTTGCCCCTAAGTCTTCGATTTTGTGTGACATCAAACATAAATCATCCACGCGCGAAATCCAGGTCTTCTAGGTTCTTCACATCTGTCTGTCCAGGATATCCCTGTCTTCTCGTTTCCCACTCACTGTCTGACGCATAATCCAGCCAGTCCACCACAATTAGGAATATCATTGGTGACAGACAATAATCACCCTTGTCTGATTCCTGTGTTTACTCCAAACGCCTCGCTGAGTTTTCCGTTGTGGATCACTTGACATATGCCACCGTTGTCGTACGGCTAGCTGTTGAATAAGGTTGATGAATATTTGGATCACTGTACGCCGTAGTACTCGAGTAGTTTCCAAATTACTTCGCGGTCAACGCTGTCTGTCGAAAGCCTTCTCAAAGTCTATGAAGTTGAGGTAGAGGTTTGATTGTCATTCCATGCTTTGTTCTGTGATGATGACGCGTAGAGTTTCAATTTGGTCAGTAGATGATTTGCCTGACTTTCCTGAATCCAGCTTGTTCTGTACTAGTGCGTCCTTTATTCTCTCCAGGATGATGCGACTCAGGATGTTACTTGGCGTCGACAGGAGCATGATCCCTCGCCAGTTCTTGCAGACTGAGGCGTAAGTCGCCCTTCTTTGGTAGTTTCACGAGGTAACCTTTCCTCCAGTCAGTGGGCACCTTTCCCTCCTTGCAGACCACTGTCTTGTATATATATATATATATATATATATATATATATATATATATATATATATATATATATATATGCTAAAAGAACTAAAAATTGATTACATCATCTATTAAATCTAAATTTCGTTTTTTTTCCACTCCTACCTAGGCGCGTCGTCATTTATTAAACTTCATGCCTCACATATGTCTGGTGTCGAACTAAATGAGCTGAACTCACAACAGTTTCCCATATCTCAGTTATTTATAAACAACTTTTGCTGATATATGTAATCTTGTGATTTTTGTACCTCGATATCTTGTTGACATGCTCGCTCCACGTTCTTTTGTTATCTTCGGGAAACAACTATCATATTACATATATAACTAGCATTTTATATTGTACCGACTAAGCATTTTGATTCCCGGTCATCCTGAATTATTGTTCCATTTGTTATTTCCAATATTCTAAATTATGTTAAAATTGTAATAAACCTGATGGCTTTCGTTATTCAGCTTGTAAGCACTTGTGAAAAGATACCGACGAAATAAAATTGGATACGTTTCATCTTGCTCCATCTCTTGTTATTACTTGTTTTTTACATTCTATAATTCTTAATCATCTGGGGTTCTGTCCTTTTCATTTACAGTTATAGCGTTCATTTGAAATCCACTGCACTTTTTTACAAATGTTCTCTTTACCTAGCTATTTCACGGTCTTTCTATTCAGAAATACACTTTGAAATTCAACATTTTTCATCCAGTTCATTTTCTACCGCATTTATTCAACTTCCCCCCTATAAACGACCTGATATGACCGCGGGTTGGGTGGGTAGACTTCGGTCTTGGAGATGTTCCTCATAGGAGTAAAACAGCGAACTTGGACGTCTGATGTCAACAACGGGACTGGTGGGCATGTAGGTCCACCTAGGAAGGGGAGCTTGGAAACCCTGGTTCCAAACCTGCCCCACGATTCTAAACGATCGAATGATGTATGAGTCTGTTTTGGTCACCTGACGCTGCTATACTTCCTTGTGCATCACACTTCAAGTCGAAGGCTCCAGGTCAGCCTCTCAAGAAAACCACCTGCTTCGGTTTGGGCGTGCAGGCAGTATTTCAGCCTCGTTAAAACTGTAAAATAACAATTTCATTTTTGTGGCGCATCTCTTAGTTTGCATAATGTACCAAATTTGTCTAATTATGGTAAATGGTGTCGATCGTAGGTTAATAATAGTCAGCAGTATGCTTTGTAATACTTGAGACCTAGGGTCATTTGACTTAGTATCAAGCTTATGACGTATTCTACTTTACACTGCCTAGTCTAACTGCAAAAATTTTAATGAGCTTCACATCATCCACCTATACATAAATGTTGTCGACTGATTCATCAATTGGTTATGTTGTTAGAATACAGTTACTCAAAAACAAATTTCTCATGCACCAACCTACCAGTCACAGTTGTTGTTTGAGGGCTGATTGATGATACCACCCAGCTGTCTAAGCCGAAGTAGGTGGATCGGGATCCTAACCTAGAACTTATTGACCATAAGTCAAATGCTTAAGCCAATGAACCATATCTCCGTATAAATTGCCTATTCGTCGCATGGAGATTTCAAATTGAAACGATTCACCTGGACTAATTAGACAACTGTCTTAGTAAGCTGCTTGGGTTGTTTGTGAATAAAAAAAGCTGTTCAAAGTTGCCAAAATATTATTTTATTTTATTTAAACTTTGCAAAACTTGGTACAGTATGGCACCAAGAAAGATGCGCCGCACAATAATAATAAAACAACATAGATCAAAAGTAAAAAAAAATATAAGTAGAGAACGGATAAAGAACTTCATCTGGAAGGAAAACAGTCATGCTTAAGAAGTTCAAACAGTGTTCGTTAACTATCATCGGGAAGGGAAGAAAGAAGGAAACTGCAACACGTTCACCATTGATGACTGCGATTCTTGACCATATCCGATAACGTTTTGAGCAATCGATTTGAGCTATCTCGCGGACCCCAACTAGGGGGTCGTGACACACCAACCGATGCTAATCCAGCACAATAATCCTTCATCCCACGACGCCACATCATGGACTGACCACCTCTCCGCCTTTTCCATCCCGTCTCAGGGCTGTCTAGCGAACAGAGACCTGTACGGAAGCCTCTGGGATGACATTCGAAGCACATATCCAAGCCACCGGAGCAGGTGTTTCCAGATGACGACACTCAATGAATGGTGATCTCCACTGCGTTCAAACACACGCCGCGAACCTCAGAATTATTCACGCGATGATGACATCGAACGCAAGCAATCCTGCGGAGACAGCGGTGATTGAACACGCAGATTCGACGCCGAACATCCTCAGCTCGGAGAGGCCAGGTTTCACAGGCGTAAAGCAAGACAGCCCGCACCGAAGCATTGTATACCTGACCTTTGACAGCCAGACTAACGTCGCGACGGTGCCAGAGGTGGCTCAAGTTGATGTATGCCACCCTAGCCTTCATTATACGGTTGGAAATCTCATCCGTCACCCCTCTGCCAGCACTCACACAACTACCCAGGTACACAAACTTATCAACAACTTCAAGCGGTTCACCAGCAAGAGTGAGTGCAGGTACAGGCTCTTGCCAATCTTGTAACAGTAATTTGCACTTAGACGGCCCAAAGCACATACCATACCATAGTTACAGACACTGATCGCCAATTGATTAAGTGTGATTTGGGCAGCCTGCATGCTATCGCACAGTAAGACGATATCGTCTGCATACTCGAGGTCGAAAAGTCTATCTCCAGGTAGCAGGTCTACACCACCTCCATGCACATCCTTCAGAGCTGACTCCAGAGTGTCATCGATGGCAAAGTTAAAGAGAAATGGAGGGATTGGGCAACCCTATCTAACCCCACTGTTGGTTGGGAACAGTGATGATAGTTGATTGTATGCCCTCACTCTACCTGACGTGTTTCTGTATAGGGCTCTCAAGATGTTAACAAATATAATTCCAGAATATAAAATGTATTTATTGATCAGTGACTACAAGTTTAGGCGGGAGTAATTTCTTCAGTTCGCGCATATAGATTAATGAATGACGGAATTTAGATTTTCACACAAAAGTGTTTCCGTACCCTGCCCCGCCCCACCACCACCATTGCCACAGCAAATTAAATTCGAATAATTACAAAAATAAAATGACTGAGTTTCAATACAGAACTCTGCACAGATATACAGCCGTTCAAGTTGCCATACATGCAAATGACTAAAAATTCAAGGAAATGAGTTATGGGGAAGCAGGTACACACGAGAGCTTATATGATTCCATAGTCATTGCTCCCTCCCATGAGATTGCAGTATTTTTTTTTGCTAAAGTATATCAGCCCAACTAATCACACTTCAAAACGCCACACATAAGGTAAGGAAATAAAAATGTTTTGGTACTACAATGGATAAGAAGATTATACCAGTAAAATAATTGATTATGAAAGAGATTTTGACTGATTTCTCGTATTCCATCATCAACGGAAGTGTACTTTGAGCAAATAAACAGTTGTGTGGTTCTTTTCTAATAGAACTTGGCCTAAATTTTAGGATTTTCTAAACGTAAAAGGTTGATCTCAGATGCTAGATCATGGCACTTGATAGTCTTATATAAATAACACATATCTTAAAGCAAATTCATTAATTATTTTACCTTGGCTTCTACATATCTTACACTTTTAACCTCCATTAGAAAAATTCTAGAGGTAAAGAAGTTCATGATAGAATCGACTGCACCTCTGCTGAGTTCTATCTCCCGTGTGAAGTGCTATTACAAGGTGAACAATATTGAGGTTAGGCTTCGGTCGAGTGCTAGGTAAGGAAGAGAAATCAATCGACGAGGCTGTGAAGCCACATCGACTGAGATGGTTATGACATGTGTTTCGTATGCCTAGCCATTGCCTCTCTCGTCAGGTAATGTTAGCCAACATAGGGACAGGCTGGAAAAGAGCTAGCGGCGGTCAAACCAAAACATGTTACCAGTCAGTGGAATCCACAACAGTTAGTTTGAGCCACGTAGGAAAATGTAGACTTTCTGGTTAGGGTCCTTGAGATGGTAAACACCAATGGCTGGAAACAATCGGTGATATGACTCAAAATCGTTCTCAAAGGCTGGTGCAGTGCATCCACTCCTTGTGACTTATAATACCCAATGAAACTATATTGTTCCTCGTTATTACTATTCCTTTTGTTTCATATCTCTATTTACTGTTTCTATCTCGCATTTCTTCTACTTTGTTCTGTTGCTGTTGTGTGCTACATGGAATGTGACGACTCGAACTGCTGCACATCTCTGCAAAATTCTATGTTGAAAACAGTCAGTCAGTCATCTCCGCTGCTTATATCCAGTTGCTATTCAGTGTGTTGAAGCGCTAGCCAACATATTCTTGGTGCAGATTATCATTTACTATGATTTCGTCTATCGTTCATCAATACATCCGGATTGACTCATATCATCCATTTTGTTTTAAATGCTAATCACAAAAAAAGAAGTTTTCACGCCCTTTTATTCAATCAAGATTGTTGAAGTAATTACATTTATACTTCTCTGTTTTAATGTTTACCAGCAAAATATCGTATTTGAACGTATTCACTCAAAGACTATTGTTGTTGCTATTTTTGTTAACTTCCACTTTTCTTTTTTGCAGAAATTCTTGTAATCGTCCTTCACCAGAACAAAGTCAGCTTAGTTGTTGTATCTGCTCAGGGCATACCTGTGATTTAGCAGCAATACTTGAATTCACTTCACTCAGAGAAGATCAGTTTGTTAAGCTTTCATATGAAAATTCAGTGAGTTTATTAGTAAAATAAATTGCCTTTAGTGTGTTTTGTTTTTTCCGTTGTATCATTTTCCATGATGTACTTTTTCCAGATTTAGTATTGATTTCATTTAAGCTGCAAAACTTCGGTGAAAAACATTTTTTTTAAAGTAGAGGGAAAAAAAGTACTGAATAAAAAGTGTGCGAAAACGTATTGAAATGAAAATAATTCGTGAATGATTGGTGGTATTAAAAAGTGAATAATATCCACTTCATGGTGAATGAATGACTTTGAAACATATTACCAACAGTCTGCAGGCTTTGATTCTCGAAATGTCGTGTAATCAGGCAATCGTTTTTTTCATTCCTCTTTGTTCCGAGCGGGGGAGGTAGGGCTTCAAGCATGATTGATTGGTGAAGTTTCAGTAGCAGTAGTATTGATTTTATCGGATGGGGTTACTATCCTCACACCAAATCTTCCGTCTTCATTCGGCTTGCTACCGACTAGGCAAAGTTTAGGAGTGCGTCAAGTGGCAATCGAATCCGGACTACACGTGTGATCGACTGGTTAACATTCGATTATTGAACCACTAACTCACAACAAGGTCATGTACATCTCCATATTTGTGAAAAACCAAAATTCGGCGACCTAATGGATTAATACGATATTTTGGTTTTACCGCTCCTAATTTTGTTTTCCAACCTAATCTCTACAAACCAATACTTGAATATCAATGAGATGCTCACTTGCGACTGGCCCTATTCAGGTGGGTAGTTTCCTTGGGTTCCAGTGGGAAGTCGTGACCAGTAGGGTGCAGCAGGTCGGGTGTAAGGACAAATACTCGCCGAAGACATTGGTTAGCGGTTGCGCTATGTCGTGAATTGGCAGAAGTTAGAATTCATGGGCCATTGGATCGAGTCCCAGTGGCTTAATGGTATACAAGCTCGCCTCGTAACCAGGAGTCCTGGGTTCGAGTCCCGGCGGATGCGTACTGATGAAGAGTCCCAAACTAGGACGAAACAGCTGTCCAGTACTCCCAGGTTTTCCAATGGTTTTCTAACCAACGTCAACTCATGATGCAATCCTGTAACCAATCAACCAAATCCCTACAAACCAATACTTGAATAATCCTATTTCATTTGACATTCCTTATCAGCACGCGTTACACATACACACACACACACACACCAGAAGTCTCAGTTGATCGAGCTGCATAATTCCATAGATTGACTTTTCTTACCGATCATTCTAAGTTGAACGTGCATATCACAACTTATCGTGTTCCATGTAACATGAGAGATTGAACAGGCAGGTGTGTACCCATGGTTTAAAACGAACAACTTTTTCATTTCGTCTGTTCTCAGCGATAATGTCCCACCACAACTACATCAGACAGTTACTGAACATTAAACAAGTACTAGACAGTTGTTTTATTCTTTCTTTTTGAAATTTGTGTATGCAGTGAATAATAACCACTGCATAGTTCGCTGGCATACTTTCTGCATTTGCATTGTCCTTCGCTTTTTAACTTCTTACAGTTTTACACAGCTGACTTTTTCCATTTGTGTAGTCATAAGTCATTGTATAAATGAATTATTGTTAGGATTACGATTTTCGGCAAAGTGTTTTTGTACACACAAATAAATTTAAGGTCTTTGAATGTCAATCTTATTTACTTAACCTTGGGTATGTACACAAGGACAACTACTTAAAGTTTACCGAGATAATAATGTCGATAATTTGGGTGGATACGTTCATATGACGACTGCATTTCTCTCAACTACAATATTCTTTTTCTGTATGTTTCACGCATTACTGGATAACAGTGTGACGGAGTTAACAAAACTGTTACTTGGTCATAGGATTCCTTCATGGGCTGACATCGGCTAGAGAAACATTGGAAAGCCATCTGGGAGTACTAGACAGCTGTTTCGTCCTAGTTTAAAACTCTTCATCGGTGCGTACCCACTGAGGTTCCAACTCAGGATCTTCTAGTTACAAGGCGAACTCGTAAACCATTAAGCTGCTGGGTACGGATACAATGACTTATGAATTTCAACTTCTGCCGATTCAGGAGATGCTGCGACCACTAGTGAATGTATTTGTATTTGTCCTTACACCCGACCTGCTGTACTGTTACTATCTATAAATTTTTGTTGTTGTTCCTAATACTTATCATCCCTTGATCCGTTTTCACTTTACTACGTTGCAACCGTGTTTAGCAGTTGCAGGTTGTTTGACACATCAGTCGACACATTATTAAACCTTAAAAAAGTTCATTTCTGTAGCTTGAGGTATCTCCCTCGCTATTTCGCTTTTAGTATTGTATCCATATATTTTTCGGATTTTCTGTCAGTATTTTTACAATGTATTTATATCATTGTCTTCGTTATTTTGTAAATTGTTTTTATCAAAACTCACTTATCATTTACTGATTGCCTCTTCTTTTCTAGGTTCATCAAACCCCTTACTTTGTAGCAATCGATGACTGCAGTCAGTGTATCGTTATTTCCGTCCGTGGTACATTATCCTTTGAAGATACTATTGTTGACTTATTGTACGATGGAGTACGTTTAGATGAGGTTGAAAAATTTATTGAATTGAAAACCGGCACAAGACCATGCTTTATTGGACATCGTGGTATGGTTGAAAGATCAAGATATTTATACAATTGTCTGTTAACCGATCGTACAATTGATATAGCATTGAACAGAAAACCAAATTATAAATTAGTTGTATGCGGTCATAGCCTAGGTGCTGGTATTGCATCTTTTCTATCTGTCTTTCTGCGTTGTACATATCCTGATGTGAAAGGTTACGCTTTCAGTGCACCTTTAGGAATGATGAAGTAAGTATAATCTATTTGAAATTTAATCTAAACTGAATGTGTTTTACTTCTTTTTTTCTTTAAACTTTATTTATTGACTAACTTTTTATATTACTCTGTCTCCACAACACAGAGGAGAAGTTGTATTCAACTGCTCTTGGTCATTTTTCACATCCTAAAGAACTTTGCTAATGATCTTTGTGCCTTGCCATGCGTATCTGTCTATTTGTTATTCCATTTCTGTCCTCCTGCTACTTTGTGTTGTTGTTGTTTTTTTCTAGCCTGTGTATAGCAAGGTGAAGTGATATACACTTTTGTGCAAAGTTCTGCAATTTATCTGTCAGTCATTTACAGTAAAACATTCAAAAATCTCTTTGTTTTCTTTCCTATTAAATTATCAGGTTAAGTTGTTTAATTGATCATACTGTGTGTGCATAACTGACAGTCTGTTGGAGACACGGCAGGAAGATTGATTTTCTTTTTTATTTTTGAAGAAGAGTGTACCTGAACTCTGCATTCTCCTGACCAGCTTTAAACACAAAGCATACAATATACATTATGAATTATTAATGAATTGATTATCGTCAATGCTGATTGACAATTGATAAGCTAGGTGTCACACTTTCTACTGCAGTTCATTTGTTAGAAATGCCTTAACATTTGGAGCATTTTCATGTCTGTCTCAATGCTGCATCTCCTTTACTTTTCTTTCAACCAGCAACCCAAATGTTTTCGAATTCCACACTGCCTACTTTGATCTGAGAAAACTTTGCATCTTAATTATGGCTCGTAACTTTGTAGTAGTAGTAGTTGTTGTTGTTAATTCCTTGGCAAAGTTATAAAAATAGAAACCTAACACTCATAAAAACACCAGTGACATTGAAACACTGTTAGAACAAGAGAGTGAAACAAGGTAAATAACACTATATTTATAAAAAAAAAGGTGTTGACAGAAGTGTAAGAATGTTAAGTTAAGTCTGAGTTCAGGATCTAAATTAACCTTGTGACGCAGTTGCCATTTTCAAGACTATTCATGCGTTAGCATCTGTTGGGTGCTTATTCTTTAATAATATAATAATAATTTTTCCTTCACGTTCCCAGTGGAACATAGGGCCCCAAGCTAGTGGCTTGAAGTTTCTGTAGCAGTGTTCATTTTTAATTTTACAGGATGAGGTTGCTAGCCTCATGACCAACCTTTCCTCTTTACCAGCATTATTTCTGGCTCAGTGAGGTAAAGGAGTGCGCCGGCCGGGGATCGAACCCGGCGTCCTAACCGCTATACCACCGACGCACGCTTATTCTTTAACTTTGGTAATTTTTTTGCGTCAACATCAAGTAGGTACACTTTCAGGGAAAATATTGTTGACTGTATGTAGTATTACTGTCTGATTATTTCAATACCTGATTGCCTAATCGACCCCGTTACTCATTTGTTAAAAGTTTAGTACCCTCTCCAATCGGTCACAACTTCGTCTCTCTCTCTGTTCAAAATTTATTCCCGCAGTTGTTAGTCGGTTGAAAGAAACCACTTGCCTTCAGAAATTTTGTTTGTAAATAGTGTTCAATTGATGACTGGTTTTTATCTGAGATGTCAGTAGTTAAGACAGCTTTTATATTTTTGTCCTTAAACTTGTGAAAAAAGGTATGCTGTTCTTCAGTGAACAACACTGTAAACGTGTTGTATCATGCTAAACTAAGAGCCAGTAAATTTGTCGTGAGTGTAATTTTTCAGAAAACAATAATAGCACAATATTCTAAGGGAGAGAGGGGTTTATTATTATTTTTTGTGTCAATATGGTTGTCATGACACTGTCCTTTTAATCTATGCATAGGTGACTTTCAATTCTCAACTATAACGGTTTATGCTACTTATCTGAGTTAGGCTGTTATAGACCAGACTGAAGACATAATTTTAAAACTTGGGCACTGTAGTAGAGCATAACTCCATTATGGATAAGATTTTATTTTGATAAATCACACAGTGTTGCACAGTAATATGAACTGATGACCACGTTTCGAGCACAAATTATTGCCACTCATAATCATATCAAGCTATTCACACAACTTTCTTGCTTCATTTATATACATGTGTGGAATTGACCAGATATTTGAATAAAAATCAATAAAGGATAATGTACATTCAGAAATAAAAATATGAGTATTATTAATCGAATACAATCAGATGGGAAATAAGACGAGTGTTTTTATAGTCATAATAAGTTACTTGTTAGCAGGTTATAATGTACGTGATTTTTATTCAAATATCCAATCAATTCCACACATGTATATAAAAGAAGAAAAAAGTTATGTGAGCAACTTGATATGATTATGAGGAGTAATAATTTGTGCTCGAAACATGGTCATCAGTTAATAAAACTGAAGATGTTTATTTATGACCACTTTTACTGTATATTAAAATACCACTTGTTGGAATGGTCATCAAAGTCATTTTCTTATAAATTTTTTTTTGGGTTGCGATCGGATAGTGAAATAAGTCATTGAAATAGGAATGTATGTATTGGTGGTTAACCATGTGGTGGTGCGATACAAACAATGTGGGCCAACAGGATATTATTCTCATATATTCCCACAGTTCCATTCGGTATTAGTAACAGAATACGATATATCTATTTGAACATTCTATTTAAAGTTAGAGTCAGAACACATTTCCCACGGTTGTATACTGCATTAACAACAAAATACTGTGTTCTTATACTTTCTTCTCTTGCTTCGCGTGCTACACGGAGTGTGGCGACTTGAACTTCCGCACATTTGTGCAAAGTTCTATGTCGAAAATAGATAGACAGACAGACAGACTGTGTATATTCGAACATTCTATATAATGTTGTTTGATGTAAACCGAAATCACATGCTCAGTGATTGGTTAAAGAATATACACAGTATATCGATAAACAGCGGTTTGATCACTTGAAAATGTACATTGGCTTCCGTGTCTTACCTTCTGTGGTTACAGTCAACCTTACATTGTTCGATTTTATATTCCCTTAACCTATTACGGTTATACTCAGCGTAATTCGTATTACAGGAATGTATATTGTACTACTTAAATGGTCATGTAAAATTTGCGATTTATTGTTGTAGGATACTTAGTTTAGTTGTATCGGTGATCAAATAAATGTATTTTCTTTTCTCTCGAGAACATTCAAGTTTCCCATATTACTATTCCCGCTAATTTGTTTCGTTACCAATATTGCCTCTTATTCGTTATAATACAAAATTATGCTTAGTACTCTGAGCTGATTTATTTGTGCATTTCATAAATGCTTTTATCATAGCTTTACATTATTGAAATACACTTGAGTGTTTGTTAACTGTGCCAAGTAGTTAAGGAATATAACGCTTTCCTTATACTGGTTTATTATTTAACAGTTGTCCGATGAAAAACGTAGATTGAATATGTAACCACACACGACTGAATTCCTCATTATTATATTTTTTTAAACTGTACTGGGTAGCTAGACATATGGTGATGATACTGTTTTGTTGACTGAGAAACTTTCCACTGCTTCAGTAATCAAGTGGTTGTTCTAAAACCTGACAGGAGTGAGCCCCATCCTCTGTAGAGTCAGTCACAGGCATGTGATACTGAAAAGTTTCATAATAAGTTGGTAGTACAACTGGTCAGTAAGCGGCATGGCTACCGATGATTCTTTGTCTGATGTCCGATAGTGACAGAGCTTACCTGAAAATAAATTAAAACTAGCTAATGACACTTTACACACTTGGAAATAGTAGAATGCCATTTTCAACAATTTTTGAGACTTAAAGTTCAAATATAAGGCACAGTGGTAGAATGCTCGTCAACCACTCATGTGGTCTGGGGTTCGATCCCCCACCAACGCACTCCTCTACCTCACTAAGCCAATACTAAGACTAGTAAACAGAGAAGGTTGAGCACGAGACTACCAGTTCCATCCCGCAAAAATAAACACCATTGCTATTGAAACTTCAAACCTTTAGCTTGAAACCCTATGTTCCACTGGGAGAACGTAAATGAAAAAAAGAAATTTAGTAAAAAGTCTAAGTTCAAATCCCAGGATAAATGTCTTCATGAACTACACTGATGAAGAGTTCCAAATGAGAACAAAATACTTGTGTACTTCTACATCCTGATTTTCAGTGACCCCGTAACTAATGTTCGTGACAAAATATACCTCCAAATTGGAATTTACATTGAAGATTTGAAAAACAAACAATGTTAATTCAATTTTTATTTGTTGACTATTTGGTTGAGAAAATTTTCTTTGTTGATGAAGTCATCTTCAGAGGTTGTACAGTCGTATTTAATTTACCAGAACTGTTATCACTCTATTAATAGGGTGTGTGTGTGAAGTAATTGGTACAGTTACTCAGAAATGGCTTCAGCAGGTTTAAAGAAGTTGTGTGATAATCGATCGAAATTCTGTAAGGTGAAGATTGTCCTTAGATGAGAAACAAGGTGTTTAGATGTTCACCTGAGAGGTGTGAAGAAGATTAAAAAAGAAAAGAAAGATGTAGAAGTTGTGTGTTGAAGAAATACAAGCACATGAGTGGGAACAAGCGGGAAAGAGAGATTAAATCTTTTCAAGGTTTGTTTAGTCTTAGTTTCGGTAAGAGCTCCTAAATGTACAGGACCTAAAACACTTTTTTTTTTTAAATTTCCTTAATGAGCTTTGTTTCTAAATAATTCCCTCTCGACATATATCTTTTCAGCAGAGATAGTTATAAGACAAAGCTTCAATGTTTAAAAGTTTTGCGAATTTAGCCATGTCATTTTAGTCTCATCTTTTTAACTCATAGAACCATTATGTTGAGAACAAGATGTTACACAAAAATATTGATGTATATGTAATGCGAACAAAACACAAATTGTAGTATCACTGTCTCAAAGACAGATCGGCACAATTGTTTTTCATTTACGTCGTAGTGTCTTGAAATCATGTCAAGAAAAGACTGTTTGTTGTTCATTAAAGCCTATAAAATTACAGATATAAGGTATAAGGCACTGATTGAAAAATTTTTTCCTTAGTGTATGATTTTTTATCAATCAAATTTGAGTATACTTTAGTTAATGTAGTGCTGAAACTGTCAGTGATTTTAAGTTGAATTACTGTCATCGTCATTGAGTACTACTTCCTCATTAAACCAACCGCTTAACTCTCTGGTTCAATAGTCATAAAGTACCTAGAAATATTCAAATGACATTGAACTCTTAATTTTATTGATATTTTCCAATGATTTTCTTAAAAGTTGATTTTATTGTTCATGTCATGTCATTTTTTCACCCCACTGTTTGTCTAATAAAAACACAAAGTTGTTCAACCTGAATTATCTGATCTATTCATTTGTGGGTTGAAGAAAATACAGAGGGTAGACCTTTAGTTTAAAGTTTGTCAGAGGTTGCACTATAGTTTTTCGAATCCTTTTTTTACTGATATTATTTGAGTATTGAAATGAATAAATAAGGGAAGTGCGTACTGATGAAGAGTCCAAAACTAGGACGAAACAGCTGTCCAGCACTCCCAGGTTTTCCAGTGGTTCTCTAACTAATGTCAGCTCATGATGAAGTCCTGTAACTAATCAAATCCCTACAAACCAACAATTAAATAGTTGAAGTGTTGAGTGATAGTTCCGTGATGTAAATGCATAAATTCGTGAAGACAAGCATGTGATAGAATAAAGTTTTTTGAATGTCGTTTGAATGCCTAATATTAGCGATTCTTTTTTAAAAAAGACTTTTGCATCAAGTGGAAATTGTGCTATCTGAGTTCAAGTCGCCAACCTTTAGTATACTCGCTTTGATCGAATCGGTGCTCAAAACAAAAGATAGTAGTCAAGCTTGCTTTATCTGTCTCAAAAGTGTGATTGAACTGATGTATTTCCTCTTTTTCTTTTTTCTCCTCTCTGACAATGGGCACCTTACCTACCTACTCTGGTTTTCTTTAGCTATCCACTTGTTAATACCACTGAGTGTCATATCTATGTAAAAATGTGGTTTCCTCAGTCTGTAAAGTTGAACCGTCACTTCTGTACTGATTGAGAATGTACTGGCTTTCATTGCTCAGTCAATTCCCTCCATCTCTTGTTACCCATTTTGGAAGGAAGTTATATAGCTACTGAGATGCTATAAAATGACAAGCATGTCATATGACATCTGTTTCACATGCAATGAAGAAATCATACTGCATTGATATGCTTATAGTGTTAAGATGTACGCGCAAAATTTGTTTCTGTTTTTTGTCATGTGAATAGGAAGGATGATTTTTTTTTTCAACTGGTGTTTTGTTTGTTGTAGCCGCCTAATAAGTAAGAATAGCTAGTAATGCAATGCATTACCCTCACAGAATGGTCTAATCAATACAATTGCTTATGTATATTAAAAACTAAGATGCTGGTTTTTTATTCCTGTGTAAGCATTTTTACATGATGCAACCTTTAGGTCTAAGGTGTGTAAAATCGATTTCTGATTTAGTGTTCCAGACTCTAGATTATCCACTGAAATCGCCTATATCAGTGATGATTAGAAGCAGCATAGTGTTATTCTGGTTTCTAATTTTCTTCCTGCTTAAACTTTTTCGAAATCCACTGGTTGAATTCAAATTTATCCTTACCAATCTGAAAAGCGAAAACCGACAAACTGGTCGAAGAAGCAGCAAAGACAGGACTCAAGGTGAATGTAGACAAAATAGAGTTTATAAAAATAACCAGCCAACAACCAGAGCAACAACATCCAGCGCCAATCACCATCAACAGGATCGGAAAGGCAAGATACGCCGTCATCAAACTGAAACCAGGAACAAGATCCAAGTCGGTCTTTCAGAAACTTGGCGTGTAACGAAGAGGATTTCCAACAGGTTGCAGACTTTCATCAACAGCTGTCTTCGCTGGCTCCATACTGAAAATCAAATGGCTAGAAACACTTAGTAACAAGAAACTGTGGGAGCAAACCAACCAAGAGCCGATCTCGCAACAAATTTGTAGGAGAAAATGGAGATGGATCGGGCATAGATTGATGAGACCGTCAAATGACATAGCGCGTCAGGCCCTCGAGTGGAACCCGAATAGGGAATGACGAGTGGGTCATTGGTGCGAGGGTAACATGGAGGAGATGAGAGATTGTGAGTAATTGTGGACCCAGGTGACGAGGACGGCAATAGATAGGACAAAATGGAGATGTGTTGTTGAAACCCTATGTTCCATTTAGAACTCAAGGGAATAATAATTATAAATATGTTAAAAACTGTTTTTTGAAAGTTAAGTACACTTAAGTAAATGAAAGATAAGAGACTATAATAACAATGAATTTTGTTCAGTAGGTTATTTACTAATGTTCATTATACGTAATCAGAAATCACTCCTGAATCGCTTGTCACATCATGATTATTTATTTGCATTTGCTTGTCTGTATGCACACAAGTTTGATTGCATACCTTGAATGTTTGTAGGTTCAACAAAGCGAATTTCCTGTCTGCTGATGATTGTAATTATATTTTTTTCGCATTGGTTATACTATTGAAGAAAGCTTGGTACTGAAGACTTTTATTTCTTGTCATATGGTCACGATTTCATGTTTTATCCTTTAAAAAGTTGTGCGTGTTTAAGACTAAAATGGGCATTTTTAATCAGTTATAATATGTGAATCAATAAAACGGGGCATCAAGCAAAGCAACTCTTTTCGGCGATTTCCTATACTGTAGTTGTGCAGTAATAATTTTTATCTCATAAAATTGTCCAATAGTTTTACACGTAAAATATGTAGTGATCACTACGATGAATACAAGTTGTTAGGTGTTTATTAAAATACTATAGAGATATGGCGAAGATGAATAAATATGGATATGGGATTGCGTAACATGATGGAAATCTCAAAGAGCGAATTATCTTCCAAAAGGGTATAGAAATGAGGAACAATAAGTGAAATAATCGAAACAGAGGACGAATTTTTCTTTTCTACATATCCTAATGAGTACTTTACATGATTCATGACATGTCACTCAATCATACTGTGGTGTGTTCTCCTGGTAAGATTTATCGGCAGTAGCATAAAAATGTCAAGTAACAGGGTTATAGATTTTACGTCAGAGAAGGCAAACGATTCTGCGTTACTGAAAAAGAAAACGAAGAAATACAATAGGAGGTAAGGCCAGAAATAGCACAACACGGAAGATCTGTGCAGATGGTGATTTGAAGATAAGTCTTTTGTCTTCTACCGTTACAAGACAAGTTTACAAACGTGAGAGTCGTACGTTAAAAATCAATAGTGGAGTGGATATCACATTCTGGGTTTTGTTGAGCCAGTAATGCAGTGTGATGGGAAGTCAGAATCATATGTAGGCGATATAAGTCATCAGGTTTATGCAAACTTCTAGTGCTCCTAGGCACCAGTCAGGTAGTAATACACGTTCTAAAACTATGTTGTTTATATTGTATAGTAAGAGATATGAGTCTTTGCTTCAGATGAAGCTAATTTAACAGCTTTTTTCTTAGTTAATCTGAGAAATATTTTGTTCAGTATGTGAATCACTAACTTGTCTCAAAATCAATTCCCTTTAATTCCTTTTCAATGAATAATAGCCAAGAATTAGCAGACTATTGCAAACCATTTCTACTGTCCATTATTTATGGATACGATATTTTCGCACGTATGAATCGATCGACAATGTCTGATTTCAAATGGCGTTTATTGGATGCCTTATCAGCTTGTAAAGTACCTAAGCATCGTCTGTTAAGTCGTGGATTGTTTGTATGCTTACGACGTTATCTATTCAAATGGTGTTTTCCGGATTGTTTTCCAAGGGAGTCTGTAACAACTGTTGGTAGTGATACTCTTCTGCTAGATACAACGACACAGGAACGCTTGATTCAATCGATTCCACAACTTGCACACGATGATAATGAAATGCGTGTTTGTCTTTCATCTCAGGAGAATTCTTCAAATTCAGGTAAGAGGTTGTACAATGCATGATTTTGGAAAATATTTCAATATTGTATATGTTTATTTAAAGCTATAGCAGTCGAATAAATTCTAAATGCTCATTGAGTGATTACAGCTACTGTGGTGTTCATAAGAATTACTTTTTCCTAGGTATGGCTCATCAAAGGTAGTTGAAACATTTTTATTCTATAAGCAGCCACATTTATTTACACCGTGCAGTAGTTGGTTTTCTGTTAGATAATACAGTATATATATTAATATCAGTAAAAAGTTTGAGCATTGTGGATTAGATCAAATAAAGTATAATTATATTTTAATAGTTTACACACAATGATAAGTTTTGTTATTGGTAATATTTCGAGCAAAATTACTGCCCGTAATTCCAACAATTCCAACAGTGGTGTGAACATGAGCAGTAATTTTGCTCGAAATATTACCAATAACAAAACTTATCATTGTGTGTAAACTATTAAAATATAATTATACTTTATTCGGTAAATATATATATATATACTGAACCATCCAATATTGAAATCTAATGCTGTGTCCTACAATTACACTGGTGGCATACACAAAAATACTCTGGCTGCTAATTTTCAATCCAGTAGCACAAAATGTTTGTTAGATCCGGGTAGATATTACAGAATAGTCTGTTGCGAGAAGAATATTGTATATGAATGCTTTTTACTTGACGGGAAGTCAGAGATCAACCCCAACGGGTTGATCTCTGACGAAATTCCAGCATGGAAACAGAGGGCTAGTTTCGCATACGCCAGTTTACGCCGTCTCTGGCGTAGACGTGATATCCGGCTATCGACCGAAGGATGTGTGTACTGGTTATCAGTCCGCTCCGTCCTGCTTTATGGCTTTGAGACCTGGCCATTGAGAGTGGAAGACATGAAGAGACTAGCTGTCTTTGAGTTCTGTCTCCCGTGTGAAGTGGAATAATAGTGTAAGCATTACTGAGGTTAGGCTTCGGTCGAGTGCTAGGTAAGCAGGAGAGATCAATTGACGAGACTGTGAATCTACATCGACTGTGGTGGTTAGGACATGTGTTACAAATGCCTAGCCATCGCATTCCTCGACGAGCAATGTTAGCTGATATAGGGTCAGGCTGGAAAAGAGAAATCTATAACAGTTAGTCTCAGCCACGTAGGAAGGTGTAGACTTCCTGACTGGTTGGGGTCCTCCGGATGGTGAACACCAGTGGTTGGAAACAATTGGTGATATGGCTCAAAATCGTTCTCAATGGCTGGGGCAGATGCATCCACTCCTCGTGACTTATGACTTCCAATGAAACTATATTGTTCTTCGTTATTACTATTCCTTTGTCTCACACCTCTGTTTACTGTCTCTATTATGCATTTTTTCTACTTTCTTCTGTTGCTTTGTGTGCTACAAAGAGGGAGTGTGGCGAATTGAACTGCCGCACATCGGTGCAAAGTTCTATGTCGAAAACAGACAGACAGTTGACGTTGACTAGCAGTAGATGCACATTTCTTCCTCTTTGGGATTCATCATCCCAAGGTACCTATGTGTGATGGCGTTCCATCTGAAACTCGAACCCTCTATCCATTGTTTCATCTAAGACTTCAAATCATTTCAACATTTTCTACATAACTCACCATTGATTGTTAGAGCGCATGTGTATGCGCTCTTTTTAGTCTTTGAATTTTCCATTGACTTATTGCATTGCTCTATTCTTGTCTAATATCTGTTCGTTTTCTCTTACTAACTAGTACCTTGTTTTTTTTAAAGATTTTAATTTGGAATAATTTTTTTATGAAATTGCATGTCGTTTATAGCTAGTGCAAGTACCTATCGATCTGTGCAGTCTAACCGATTTCGTCCTGGTCCACGTTCACTTCTCTGTTGGATCAATCCTGATAGTGTACTTCCACAGCCACAGACTAATATACAGTCTACAGAGTCCACTTCACAGGTACAATCTTCAAATGACAAAGCTGACCTTTCCACTACTGATGAACTTCACTCGTGCCAGTCATACGATCTCTCAGATGGTGTATTCGGTGGTTTAGTTCTCCATCTAGTCGATGTTGATCTTGATCAAAGTGATGATGATGACAGTTCCACTAGTCCTATGATGAATGAAAATAGTTTCAAAGAAGATGTAAAAGACGGCAGGAAAATTCATAATTCTGGTCTAGAACGACTCTTATCAGCAAAGTCTAGTAGAAAAAATTCATGGTAAGTTAAAAATTACTAGAACAAAATTCGATTACCTAATGGTGTCTATTGTTATGCTGATATTCAGCATGGAGCTGTTAGCAGTATAGTTTAGTCGGGAAATGGATCATACGTTATACTCTTATTGTCACGCATTTGTACGATTCTGTGTATATATTCTTTTAGTACTATTTGCCTTATTTTACTGTTAATTTCAAGGGTTAGTTTGAATTTTATAATCCTTTTCGCATTTCTACTTTAATTTCATACTTTCATTGTACACTTGAACACTTGTGATCTGCTTCCAGTTGATGTAACTGAACTAAATGATTCCTGAAATTGCATTTACAATATTTTAAATTACTGCATTTCTACGTATATTACTTATCTTATTATTATTTTTTTGAAATTGGAACTGAGTAGCTTCCATAGATGATGCATTAGGGGAATTTCCAAAGTTTCTCCTGCAGTATACCTAGAACGTTGCATTTTATATATCATCTAGGTCTTTTGAGAGCTGTTCCCCCCCCCCCCACTTCGACTTCTCGAATTTCAACAGGGGGAGATGAATTCCAAACTCTGGTTGTAGATGTAATGGATAGACTTTCAGTAGAAGTTCTACCAACACAATATCACCTTAGAGGGTACTTCCAAATAAAAAAAATGTAGAGGTTATTAATTAATTTCTCGAACGAAGTGTGAATGCTCATAGGGAAGGGGTACTGCAAATTTCACTTTACTTATTCATCAAGACGAGTAATATGAACTGTCGGATATTTGTGGAAAAAGTTTAACTTGGTCTATTTCCAATACCTTAAGTCCTGCGAATATTCACATTATCTGAATTGAATTTTATGAGTACCACAGTCGTTGTATGTTCCGGTCATTTCATTTTTCTGCTCGAATTACATTTTCTGTCATTGTGTGTATCACTGTAAGTGCGTTTATTATTTCTCCTCTTAGGTTTTTTATACCCTAAAATGATTTTAAATGACTGTCAGAAATTGTTAGACTATTGGAATTGCATTATATCGCAAGTGTATTGCGCAAACATGTGTAAATGCGAGCACACACACATACACACAAATACGCCTTACAGTTATAGTCTGCAATAATAGGCATTGCAATGCATGCAACGGTAATATATCTTTGAGTCTAGTAATAAAATATGCCTGTTTAAATGTTATATATATATATATTCCTTGACTAATTCCGCTCTATACTGACACTGGAGTAAACTGCATTCTGGACACTAGCAATAAAAACTAGCGATCTGCTTGCTACTTCGGCTTCCTAAAATCGTTTACACCTTGAAAGTGAACGTGATTATGCAGCAGTTCAGTATTCCTATGGGATTGTTTTGTTTACCGGTACAAACCGGTAATCCAAGCTTCTTAAAAATATGATTGAAGCAAGGACAACAATTATAGCAGGATAAATATAAACTCACCCATTTTTTTCATCTGCTTTCAACCTAAATAACACCGACATACATAAATTACAAAACAAATTAGGGTATGAACATATTTTTATCACAGTGTCAATGAGTTACTCCTGGAGACTATGAGTAGCATAAGTCCAGAAAAATGCAAGCAGTTAAATCATTAGGAGTTGAAAGCATTCACAATTTATAGGATAATAAGACGAATATCCTTGAAGACAGAAGCAACAACAGGGAAACAAAGTTCTGCTAGAAAGAGCATGTTAGCATAGTAATTTGAGTAACTGCTACAAGAAATATTCTACAATAGGAAGAAGATTAAAGTGATTGACGTTCAGGTGAAAAAAAAAACAGTTATCAATAGACTAGAAAATATAAAGAAGTATATATATATATATATATATATATATATTAATGAATCGAAATCTTTGAAGATGAAATGTGTATTCATTTGTGATTGGCTTTGAATGTATATAAGGTTTGCAAACGTTTTAAAAATTGTTAACGGAAAATTTTTTTGGAAAAAAAATAGCGGATTGAGCGACCAAAAATATTCCTTTTCAGATAGTTCCTTATCATCGGCTCTATACTAATATGTAGTTTTTATATCAACTGGACAGTATACTCACTTCCTGAGCTTCGTACCTGCATAGTTCAAACGTAATCTGGTTAGATGTCTTGTTCACCGGGCTAGAGTTATCTGTTAAAATGAGACAGTGAACGAAGAACTCGGTAATATTCGTGATCTACTAAGTAGAAACGGATATCCAACCAAATTCGTGAACAAACACATGGACTCAGAAAGTAAAAAGTCGACTGTTCCCCAAGAATCAGTCTTCCTAAGATTACAATTTATCGGTGATGTCATTAATGACATCTTATCACAAGACATACTGCCCTGTTTCTCCTCTTCCATGTATAATTACCAGTTTAACTGCCCGTGCCAAGCTAGCTACATAGGGCGTAAGATCAGGCAAGTTCATCGTCGGATTTCTGAACACCTCTCATCTTGGTCTGGCATAGGTCTGAATAAAACTATACGCAAGACAATACTGGTTCATCTCGTCGATACTGGATATCAGATTGACACTAACAAAGCTTTTAAAGTTATTTATCGTGTATCACTCAACTTCTCTTGTGGTCTAAGAATACCACTTTTACATGCAGCAGAGGCAATCGGAATTCATCTGAAGAAGGCAAATCCTGTGTGTTCAAAAGAAATTTGTGCAGCCGCTTTCCTTACTATGGCCAACTACATAATATGCAGTTTTTAGAGATGAGTTTTTATCCTCCCCTTTGTAACTATCTTTTGACTTCATTACTTCACTATGTTTACAATTCTAGCTAATTCTATTAACTCGTTTGTATTTTACGTAATTCTACTGAGTTATCCTATTCTTACAGGATTTCATCATGAGCTGACATTAGTTAGAGAACCATTGGAAAACCTGGGGGTACTGAACAGCTGTTTCGTCCTAGTTTGGGACTCTTCAGCGGTACGCACCCACCTGGATTCGAAGAGTCTGATGAAGAGTCCCAAACTAGGACGAAACAGCTGTCCAGTACTCCCAGATTTTCCAATGGTTCTCTAACTAATGTCAGCTCATGATGAAATCCTATAAACCAATCAAATCCCCACTAACCAACACTTGAATTATCCTATTCTTCTTAGTCATCATTTCTTGATTATGTAATAATTTGTTGCTAACATCTAAGAATCAACTTATCTTGAATTCCGTAATGAATTTCCAACCCTCCTTTAAAACTTGAATATCTTGTTACTAGCATTTATTAGTTAAATTTTTTGATGACTTTTAACCTCCCGATTTCGCACCCCCCTTTTACCTAAAACTGCTTAACTAAAATCACCACTTGATTGGTAGGGACTTTTGCTGTAAAAAGCTATATACTAGTGTAGAGCTGTTGGTGAGGAGCTAATTGAAAAGCAATATATTCCTTCACTCAATCTGTTTTGTTTTTCTAAATGCGTAAATTGGAATTCGGAAATTACAGGTATTTTCTTTATTATGTCTGTCATCGTTCTCAGCTGTAAAAATAACTGTCATTTGAAAAAATACCCCATTACATAACCTCTAAGCATCATGAGGATGTTTATTTTGATTTCAGTGAAATAGATATTTTAAATTTTGAATTAGAGTAGTATTTATTCGAGTATTGATTGATCAATCATTTGGAATTAAAGTCTACTTCTCTTCCCTTTTGTTTTCCCAATAGTTGTAAAAGTCATCGTGAAACTAGAAGAACAATCTCAGCTGTCTGGTCTAATCCACAACAGTTTAAAACGATTCTAGTTCACCCACAAATGCTGATACACCATTTACCTGATCGAATGTTAAAAGCTGTTGAATGTCTCCGTCGAACGGTACTCCTTGTGTCAACTGACTCTTCAGAAAATAGTGGCATGAATGGTTTGAAGACGTGTGATTTTATACGGAAATTGAATAATGTATCATGATTTTTATTTATGTATTTGTTTTATTTTGTTTTTTTTGATGAGGTAGAGTACTTCTCGCATGGATTTATTCAATTGTAACTGTGAATGAGTAGCTTTTCTTATAACAAATTTACTTCATTTCGATTCGTCTTCATTACTTCATTTTGATTTCATCATTTCTTAGCCTATTGTTCTGCTCTGTCAGACAATGCAACCTTCAAAGAAGCACCTTGTACATTTGTCACGAGAATGCCAATTATGCACTTACGGATGTATCATGTCTTTGTGATACAAGTACATAATATTATATCTAAAGAATAGCAGGAGAATCTTCCATTGTAGCTTTGTGCAATAGTTTGATTTTTTTTAAGTAACACATTCTTACAACATTCAGGAATTTTTGGGGTGTATGGGTGTATGGATAGTGAAAAAGTAGAGTCTAGTGGTTTGTGCTTGCCTCTTTCCCATATACCAGTTTGTTTGTTTTTCGAACGACTCTGATTTCTATTTAATCAGCCTTTGACTTTTGTATTCTGTTTCTTATAGGCATTTTCTTGTTATGTGATTATGATTTTTTTTGGATTTTTTCATCACATATTACTATCACCCTTGTGTAAAACAATGTCGGTTGGAAAGAGAGTAGAATAGAAATAGGAGGAACTGTCATTATTGTTGTTGTTTGAAACAGTAACAAGTCATCCGTAGACGACTCTGAGTAATAAGGCTGATTTTCCGTCACTTTTTCCAAGTTTTTCCTTCTTTTTTTTTTAATTTTCATCATTGCAGTTATCTCAGTAATCATAATAATTCAAACAGTCTTACTAATTTTTTTTTCAATGCTTTCAATATTATGCGTTACTGTGATTCATATTCGTCTTTCTGTGATTGTTATTAACGGCTTCTTTCTGCCGATTGAACATTAGCACTTGGTGCACTTACTCTGTTTGAATACTTTCTTTTTTAGCTTGTTGTCTATATTCTAGACACTTTTGCGCACTGAACAAGTTATATATATATATATATGAAGAGGAAACACTTTGTCGCCTACGACTACATTATCTCAGGTCATCAATTCATATGGATTTTCGATAATTTCAAAATAAAAACTTTATTTCTGAGACACGTCTGTGTGTTCAATTTCCGTTTTGTGTGAATGTATTATCTAGGCAGCAGTGTGAAAGTGTATTGGTAATACTATTGTTGTTAAATTATTATTATTATCTGCCGTGTTTAATAACAATTTTTTATGCAGTTTTAATTTAATTGTCTCAGTGTCTTTACTTACTATAAGAATTTGCTGGTTCGGTATATGTAGTGTTAGTTGATTCTCCTTCCACGGCACTAAAATGAACCTACGGCTAAAATGAAAAATATATGAAAGTGAATTAATTTAATATTTAACCGAGTAAATAAATATCTACCTCGACTTAGGATGCTTTAGGTGTTTCACGTTTTGCTGTTAACGGGTACTTGTCTTGCCAGGCTCTCTCGTGGTGGTATGACTCACATCCTCAGATTTTGTAGTTCAGTCATACGAACAACATAAGTAGCCGTAAAATTTTTCGACCAAATAACCTTAACATTTTATTCTATTTATATTACATGTATTACTCATCAAAGCACATTCCTAAATAATTGAGTCTTTTTTTACTTGCGTTTTGTTATCAATACTTGTAGATCAGGTAGTTTACTGATAAGTTGGTGGTGATTAAGCATCTTCTATTTGATGAGACTTGCGTAGTGTAGCATATCAACAACATAACCAGGTCCTTACATGTACCTGTGAGAAATAAAAGACATGAAATCCCCGCATGCTGTGATAATGCCTTTAGATAAGACAGTTAAAAAACTCGAGACACTGTAAATCTTACACTTCCACCCCCTACAGAACTGCTGCTTCTTTGACGATTTTGGAAGATTGAGGCGTGTTCCATAGTTGAGAATGGCTGCATCTCTAGTGGTTAACTACATCGAAGTATGTACCTACGGAATATTATTAATGATGTTGCAGTCCATGTTTTAGAGAGAGAGACAATAAAGTCCCACTTGATGATAATAATGGTAGCAAGTATGCGTTCCCAATATGCGTGTATATGGTTAACTGCAGCATAGTAAATGGTTCCTTGCATCTGTAACGGATGGTTAACTTGTATCAAATCTGATTGTGGGAGGTGATACGACTGTCCAGGGAGATAACAGCAATGTAATAGTCCATCTTGTAGAACTTAAGCACTAACACTATGATTAAGAATTTTGATGACTGGATAGGTCCATTAACGTTAGCTTTTTGGAAACAGTATGCAGATGAAATCTCACCTCATGATATTGTTAGAGTAAATAAACATGTATGCGTATTGCGATGGATTTCATCTATGGTTGCCGGGATCTTTCGTTGATTAGATCTACAGTGACTTCACTTCCAATTTGTGATAAAGCCTACAGGCACTAGAATAATTTTCTAATAGATAAACGCACACACGAATAATGGTACGTTATTATAGGAATAAAAACTGGTATTGAAATACCTCTGCTTTGAGTATGAATTATTATTATTGTTCCCTTGGGTTCCAAGTGGAACATAGGGCTTCAACTGCACGTCTCCACTTGCTTCCTCCTTCTTCTGCTGTACTTTTCACCTGCATCCGTCTTAGTCCATACGGTTTCAAATCCTCGTCACACGATATCCTCCATTTCACCCTTGGACGTCCCACTCACCTCTTCCCTTTCGGGTTCCACTCGAGAGATGGCCTGACGCTCGCGCGATGTCACCAACCGGCTTCGTCAGCCACGAGTGTCCATTCAATCCACCTCCAATTTCTCCTGCATGTTTACTGTTGGTTGGCGATTGGCTCTTATTTTGTTTGTCTGTTCCCATAGTTTCTTGTTGGTGATACTTTCCCGCCCGACCATCTGATCTTCAGCAGAGAGCGAAGACAGTTGTTGGTTGATAAAGGTCTGCAACAGGCTGTTGGAAACATTCTTTGTGACCCGCCCACCAAGTTTCTGATCCGTATAGAAGAACTGACTGACTTGACCACGTTTGTATTGAAAATCCGACCGAATTTTGTTGTTGATGCTGGCTGAGTGACAGCAGAAGATTTCCAGATTGGTTTCAGGTTGATCAATGATGTGTTTCTCGCCTTCCCGATTCTCGCTCGATTCGACATCCTCGTTCGTTCCGACTTCCTGTAGTTGAGACAATGCTCCCCCCTAGATAAGTGAGTGAATGAAGTCACCTCTTTCAAATCCCTCCCGTTGATGGTGATTGACGCTGAATGTTATTGTTGTTGGTTGGTTGGTTGGTTGGTTATTTTCATAACTTCCGTCTTGTCCACCTATGTTCACCTGGATTCCTGCCTTCGCCGGCTGCTTCTTCGACCAGTTGGTCGGTTTTCGCCTGCCCCTAAGTCTTCGATTTTGTGTGACATCAAACATAAATCATCCACGCCCGAAATCCAGATCTTCTAGGTTCTTCACGTCGGTCCATGATATCCCTGTCTTCTCGTTTCCCAATCACTGTCTGACGCATAATCCAGTCGACCACAATTAGGAATATCATAGGTGATAACAAGTCAGCACCCTCGTCTGATTCCTGTGTTTACTCCAAACGCCTCGCTGAGTTTTCCGTTGTGGATCACTTGACATGTGCCACCGTTGTCGTACAGCTAGCTGTTGAATAAGGTTGATGAATATTTGGATCACTGTACACCGTAGTACTCGAGTAGTTTCCAAATTACTTCACGGTCAACGCTGTCTGTCGAAGGCCTTCTCAATGTCTAAAAAATTGAGGTAGAGGTTTGATTGATCACCATTTGAGACGTTGTTCATTACTGTTTGTAGATGTCTGTAGAACGCCTCCTTCCTCTCTTGTTCTGAGACGTTTGTAGGCGCATAACATTGAATGACTGTAAATTTCCTTCCTTTTGAGTTGAACCTGGCTGTCATTATCCTGGAGGAGATTGGTTCCCACTGCATGAGAGCTTTGGCTGCTGTTGGTGACCTCATGATGGCCACTCCCTCGGTGTGCTCGTGATTGTCCTCTGGGTGACCGGAAAAGATTACTGTCTCTCCAGTAGGTAGTTGGCACCTTCCAGTTCCGTTCCATCTGCTTTCGCAGATTCCCAACACTTCTATTCTGTACCTTCTCATTTCAGCGGCTATTTGGGCAGCCTTTCCAGTTTCGTACCTTGTACGAACATTCCAGGTACCCATCCTTACTTTTGCTTTCATCGAAAGAAGGCACATCGGCTGACTGGTTTCCGGAGGGCTTTCACCAGCCTGCGTCATTTCACTTCCCCGATTCCAGCGAAAAGTAAGGCTATTGCTTATGCTTTTAGAATTTTTAATGTATTTATTCGTTGGAGTTTCTATAGCGATTTGGTTGTTTTGCGGGGGTGGAGTTGCTAGCACCACGCCCCAACCCTCCCTCTTTATACGGCCTTGGGAACGGCTGGAAAACTAGTGATCTAGGCGAGGCTAGAAAACTAGCCAGCTAGTAATCCAGGCGAGGTTTTTGAGTATGAATAAGATGTAGCAATCTGTCCTCCATATAGTGTCCGACTTTTATAGTCTGCCTCCGATCCTCAAGAAAGTAAAGGAGAGAAACTTCATCGTTTGCTTCTAGAGCGGTTTTAGTATCAACACAGAATGTTATTCGTCGGAATAATTAAGGTACTGTCCACTGAATGTTAATCTTAGTTTCGTCCTGCTGATTCAGATTTTCAGAGGAATGCTGTATAAGTTTTGTAATAACCACGGGGAAATCGTATCTACTTATTTAACGTCTCAGTAGTCGCAAAAGATTAATGAGGCTCGACTAAAATAACAAAGCAAATCCCTCGACGAAAGAAGGATGCTTTGGTTATACTAGGGCATTTTATCTTACGTTTGAACCTGTAGACTGATAGATGTTGAAGCAGTGTTCGGCTGTGTGAGTGACAAGAGAGCTTGTGCGTCGGTGGCACATTGGTTAGGACTCTCGCCGACCATGCACATGGTCCGAGGTTTGATCCCCTGCCGAC